GAAGAAAACGCAACTGTGCCGCAGGCGAGTTCATGACCGTAAATCTCACCTGAGCTTCTGATACTGATCATCGATCGGTCTGACTTTCTAGTGACTATTTCATACTTGTATCTCTTCAAACCTCTGACAGCCTCATATATCACTGAGGAACTAGCGATCAGACTAGAGATTGCTCCTTATCCTCCCACCATCAATTCCACCTGACGGACTAAGGCTTTACTCCCTTCTCTGCCTTCCGCCTTTTAAAACGATGAGCTGTCCATGCTTCTGTCTGAAGCCAGCCCCTCGATGGTGCAGTGGATTCCATCTGTGCCCATCCTGCCTTTTCAATCATTTTCCTTCTGCAATTATCCCCTCTCCTGTCTTCATCAACTTCTCTTTCTGCCATCGCCATATATACATTTCCTAATGTAGCGCATCTTCAAAAATAATGTCCCTCCTGGCCTCCTAAAACCAGTAACTTTACAGTGGAGTAAACCTGACAAACACCTCAGCCAGGTGATCAAGGCGACGAGTCGTGATGGCGGAATGTACCCTTGCTGTGATATGAGGAGGTGATAAGGGCACTGTACCTCTGTGGTCTTCCTTTCCAAAACCCACAACCTCTGTCCAACCAGAAAAACACCAGACAAATCCAAATGGAAGGATGTTCTACAAGATACTTAACTAGCACACCTCAAAATTGTCAAGGCCATCAAAAGCAGGGAAAACCTAAGAGAAACCTAAGGAGACGTGACAAGTAAATGTAATGTGGTATTCTGAATAGGACCCTAGAACAGAAAAAGAAAGATACTAAGTAAAACTAAAAACCGGAATAAAGTACAGGCTTTAGGTCATAAGGTACCAATACTGGTTCATTAATTGTGACATATGCGCCATAGTAATGTTAACAATAGAGAAGGCCAGGCACGGTGGCTCACGCCTATATTCCTACCACTTGGGGAGGCCGAGGCAGGAGGATCACTTGAGCCCAGGAGTTCGAGACCAGCCTGGGCAACATAGGGAAACCCTGTCTCTATTCTAAAATTAAAATAAAATAAAATAACAGAGGACACTGAGTGCAGGGAACTCTTACAATAGTCTCACAGGCTTTCTGTAAACCTAAAACTATTCTAAGATAAAAGTTGATTAAATATGAAACCACACACACTCACAGACACTCTCACACACTCCCCTGACCCATGTCATCTTCTTGCTTCACTCCATTTCCCTGCTTTCCTGCACAGGGAACCTTCCCAAAGGAGTTGTATATTGCCATGGTCTCTATCTCCCCACTCCAGCCAGCTCATTCCTCAGTCAGTCCACTCCAATCTGCTGTCCTTAGCTTTCCACCAAAACTGCTCTTGTTAAGGTTGATGGTGAGCTCCATGTTGGCAAATCTGAGTCCATTTTTTCCCCTTCCCTTACCTTTCAGTCTAGTGTGTGTGTAACCCAGTTCACTATGCCCTCCTTCCCACAGCACCCTTGTCACTTGGCTTTTGGGATACTATACCCCTGGATTTCTTCCTGCTCCTTGGCTGCGCCCGCTCCGTCTGGCTTCTACCAGTGGCCTACGTTCTGTCTCCGGACCTCTGTTCTTCTTGGACTGCACTCTTATCTCATAGGCATATTTCATCCCATCTCGTGGAGTTCAGTACAATTAACCTACTGCACATTCCCAAATTTGTATCTCCAGCTTTAAACCCTATGAGGTAGGGACTGCTGTCACCACCATTCTACGGAACAGCAGACTTAGGCTATCAGATGTTTAAGGGGCTTCCTTGAGGTTACACAGCAGGAAGCAGCAGGGCTGGGATTTGAACCTAGGTCTGTCTGACTCTAGGCCAGTGTTGTGAGTTGCCGGGCTGCCCGGGCACCCCCTCCTTTCCCAGCCCCCGTCCTACCTGCTCCCCAGGGCCTCTTGCATGTCCTGCTCATTCTGGCCTCAGGCCTTTGTCTCCCTGGTCCACTTCTCCTGGAATGACCTCTTTTCCCCCTGCCTGTCTAATCCTCTTCCATCCCAGCTTTGGTGGGAGTTTCTCCACTCTTAAGACCCAGGCCGATCTCTGCTGGCCTCCTCTGGACACTTGCAGGTGCTGGAGTCTACCCTAAAACAACCAAGGGTTCATTTGCATCAATAGTTATCATGCTTTCTGAACCCACGACGGGGCCCTTGGCCCAAGTACAGCTGCACCCACGGGGATGTGGAAGCACGTGATCTAACGCTGGGACTGGCTGGGAAAACTGGGCCATGGGCCTCCATCATCACACACCATCTCAGACAGGGTCTCAGTCATCCAGGCGGGCTTTGTTTGGTTTTACCTACTAACTGGGAAGCTTCTAGAAAGGAGGATCATGAGTGCTGAATAAGTATCATTTTTAAACACTGTGTATATTAGGTGGGCCTGGGGAAGTACTTCAAGATCCTTTTTTCCTGGGTCTTGGGGGGCCAAGGAAAGTTCAGTCCAGTAGTGAAAGAATTAATTTAGACTTCATGGAGGTCACAGAGAGGCCGAGCAGTTCCCACAGGGGTCGCTGAGCTCAAAGGAATGTTTGGAAGAAACGGGGGTGACAGGATCGTTTTTGGAAGAACTGAGAGTGCTGGAGGGAAGTGAGGAGCAGGAGACTGGAAGGAAGAAGTGGGAAGGGCCATGTGGGAGGCCCAGTGCTGGCTGAGACAGTGAGCAGTGACCTCTGGGGCAGAGAACATTGCCCTTTCACTTACGTGAGTTCAGCCCCAATTCCCATGATGCTGGCCGGGGCTCTGGTCCCCGCCCTGCCACTAACTCCCTGTGTGACTGCAGGCAAGTTGCTTTGTTTCCCTGGGCCTCAGTTTCCTCATCTCTAAAATGAGGAGGTTGAAAAAAAAAAGTGATGGGGTTGGGTGACATTGTTTCTCAGCTCCTCTCAGTATCCTGAGTGCACCTGAGATAACACATCCTGTGCTGTCCTACCCTGGGCCACTGCCTCGGGGAAGGAAGAGCCAGGTTAACCTGACCGTTCTTCTACAGGCCTCCTGGTAAAAGTTCTTTTTCACAAAACAGCAGAGAGTCTTTTGTGTGGGATCTAGGAGGGGAAGGATGTTAAGTGGTTGAATCTTGCATATTGTAAAAGAAATGAATCTGCATTTCCTTGATCTCCAGAAAAAACACAGTTCATTCACTCTCCATCCCCAACTGAAAATGGGCATCCATGCCCATGCTGCAGAGTGGGATCAGTTTTGCCCTGCATGATCAGAAGGGGCAGGGTTGGCCCTTCTCTCCCAGGTAGGGCCTTCTGATGTTCCAGCCTTGGGTCAGAGTCCCTCTCCCAGAGAGATTTCTCATCCATAAGCCTGCCAACCAAGACAAGTGCTGAGATGCTGTCGCAGCCCACCAGGGTTTGCTTGCCTGGAGGGGAACATATCTAGCATCAATAGGACCCCCAGCGGCTGAACGATTGCTAATTCTGTGCAGGCCCCTGCCTTGGTCTTTGCACATCTGGCCACACAGGCATGTACCTACTCCTGAGTCAACTACGTTTTGAAAATATAAAATCAGGAGCATTTAAGTCAGTCTTCACTGGATTGCTTGAGGCAAAACGTGAAGCAGTGATGGCTTGTGTGGGTCTTGTGTCTTGTGGTTGGAGGCTGAGCTCCTCTGACCCATCAGGAACAATGGCTTCGTTGTGCTCCTCTCTGGCTTGCTTGCTGGACTTGGAAGCAAGAGGAGCTTTGAGCTGCCCAGCACCCCCAGGGGCAGGAGGGTACAATCATGGCCCAAGGACAGCACTGTGGACCCCATGGGACCCTGCAGGTGTTAGGGGCTGGGATAGCACCTTTCCAGGCCTGAATCCTGAATTTGCCAGTGCTCAGAGGCAACTCTGCTCCTGAAGGATGGGCTGAGATGTGTCATTCACAGAAAACCTTCAGAAAAGAACAGATGTTTTCAGGAAGTCCCAGATGGCAGGCAAAGGCGGGTAGGAACCTGGCAGAGCCTAGAAACTCCAATCTGAAGGTCCAGGCCCCAAGTTTTGGAAGAGAAGAGTAAGCAAAAGAACCAGAAGGAGGTCTAAAGGCTAAAGTAATAAAGACATGAGTTTTCTGTTTAGAAATGAGAACAGGGTCCTGTCATAAAACCAGCCTCCCAGCCATCAGTCTGAGGTGTGAGAGGAGAGACGCACTGGCCAGGAGGGGGTTTAAGTTTTTTTCTCCCAACAACAAGCTGTGATTTGCTAAGTCATCTAACAAGTTCCTCAGTTTCAGCTGTAGAATGGGCGCTCATGGCATTGCTTAGACCTAGGATCCAGTGAGCTAACAAGCTAACATATGAGACTACACTATGTGGACCAAATGCGTAGGCAAAGTACGTGCTGTTGGAGTGGCTGGTTCTAGGATGGACAGTGAGAGTGCAGGCTGCTGCACAGTCTCTCCCCTTGCCCCCATCGCTCCACGGAGACAACGGCCTGCTCACAAGCAGGGCATGATTTGGAAAAGTGAAATCTGAATTGGGGAACACATCATGCTCATGTCCAGTTCTGGGCTTTCACTGTGCTCTGTCTCTGGCTGAGGGGATCTCTGCTCTTCCCAACCACGGTCTACCTGGGAAGACCCTACTCAAGCCCAGCCACCTCCAAATTGAAGTACTAATGCCCAGGCTGCCCCTTTCCCTTCGGGACCTCTATCCCAAAGTGCGGTATGTGAATATACAGAGCAGCGTGGCTCTCAGACGACTTCATGTAATTTTCTGAAAGCAGGGACCGTGACTTCTTTCCTTTGGTTCCCCATAGGATACAAAAAATGGCTCTGAGGCAGATAGAAAAATACTTGCAGAAATAAGGAAGATACAATATGAATTTTCAGACTTAGTCAACTGCCGAGTATTTAACAACAGTCTTTCCTTCACCAGTCTTATCAGCTCACTTCAGTAGTCTCATAAAGGTCTGTGCTAATGTTTAATTTCTATAAACTACTTAATGAATATTTCACTTTACATTGGCATAACCCATGATAAATCCACAGGAAATAAGAGCCACCAGCAGTGGTAGGATCAGAATACTTTAATAAGATACCAGTGTCAAAATACATTTCCTTATAAAGTTAAGCTCCCATACAGTTATAATGTTGTCAGTAGGAATTCGACAATATAATAATGTTCATGAAATCGTTACGTTGACAGGTAGGGTTAATATGAAGCTTGGAATATTTTTCAGTGTTTTAGTAAAACTGCAAGGGTAAAATGCCCTTAATGCCAGGGCAACACACACAGGAAATCAAATACCAGCATTTACATGTCAGTAACCCTTCAAGTTCTGCCACCCTGTGTGGGGTAACGCTCTGCAGCTAAAATATGATTTAGACAACACCATGACTAAGGAATTTCTCATATAACTTAAATTTCTTTTGAAAGCTACTTTTTGTTTCTGGCAATAAGTCCATCCGGGCTTACTAAATAGTTGGCCTAATGTGCTTTGTGTGGGTTTTTAGAAACTTCTTCGTTGTACCCATTACAGAAAAGTTCCATGTAATTGGTATTGAAAAACCAGAGGTGTCGTCCCTCTTACCCAGTGAGTTGCAATGTGCTCTGGGAACGCTATTTTCAGTGCTTCCTACCTATACCTGTCACTGCCCGACCCAGAGACCTCAGCCAGGGCCTGCAGCTCGGGGCCATCCCTGGAGGCCTTGCAGGGCCATCTGGCTGCCAGCTCAGGGGGGCTGCAAGGCTGGTCTGGACCAGCTGCTCTCCCGCTGTGCAGCCTCCTCCTCAGTCCAGCTCCACGGGGCTCCAAGGTCGTGAGCTTGGAGGACGTGGACCGGGTCACTATACCATTTCTGACCCCTCATTTGCATGAATTCCCATCTAAACCATCTCATGGTAGTTCTGGAAATGTCTAAATGTGCCGTGTGAAAGACCATCCGAGTCACATAGCTCAGTGCACTTGAAGGGCTAGCAACAAAACCTTAAGAAAAGTTAGAGCACTTCCCCGCCCCACCCCCCGACCCCACAACGTGCCATCAGACCCTCTTGGCAGCAATAATAATACATACATACATAGTACATAGAGAACATGAGGGGATAGCGCGCAGTGCTCCCACTGAATGACTCCACTGCTCGGATTGTCACACCTATGGCATATCACAGATGGCAAAAAGCCGACAGAGGGAGGCCTTCCACAGTGTCCGTACAGGCCGTGGGAGCACTGGACAAGTCTGCAGTGTCCACAACACCAAGAAAAATTAACAGCTTTGAAAAGATCTTAAAGTGATTTTGTGAGCAGGATTCCATTTCCGTTTCTAAGGTTTTAGATATTACGAAGTACCCATATATATGATAAACACTTAACCCAGATATAAATTTTCTCTTTTAAAAAAACTCAGTTATGTTTTTGAATAATAATAAAAAATCCACCGAATGCGGGGGAAAAACACCAGTTTAGGAAAAGCCACGCTGTGCAACCTTCACAGATAACCACATACGTTGGAGTTGACCCTTCACATTTCTTTTTTTCCAAAATCAGAGCAGAGTCAGCTTAAACCAAAAAAACCTGAAATTTACAATATGGTGATTAGTTTTAAAAAAGAAAGGAGAAGGGCGCTCTGCGAGGGAGAAGCCACAAGCTGGGAAAGCAACATCATTTTTGTTTCTCTTTGGCAACAACAGTAACGAGGAATCTTTTTAGTAAAATGAAGCTAACGCTCTCCCTACAGGAGAACAGACATGCACCAAACTTGTTAGTGTGGACAGTTGTGTGTGAGAAGAAGAGAAAGGGAGAGAAACCTATAGATAATATAAATTAGAAGTAATTGAAGGTGGGGAGGAAAAAAAATCTTACAAAACTTAAGAACATTTCAGAACAGGTAAAACAATTGTGTACTTTAAAAATAGGGATAATAAAGTGAGCATCTCAGAAAAAGGCCACTGCGTGGTGACCTGGGCAAGTCTGCCAGGTAAGTCCATCTTGTAAATAGTGTGCTGGTGTTAGAAATACCTAGTTACAAAAACAGATGGAGAGAGTGAAGCTGGTGGGACGGTGTCGGCAGAGGTGCTGCCCAGGTGGAAGGCCTGGCTCAGGTGGCCTGGTCCAGGGCTCTGAGGAGGTCCCCTCCTTGCAGGAGCGTGGAGCTTCCCAGCACGGGCACGTTCACCTCACAGTCATATCTGGTCAGTTCAGGCAGCAGGTAGGACTCAAACGAGGGCCCGAGCAGCCGGCTTGCCATGCCTGAAAGAAGGGTTGGTACCATAACTTAAAGGCCTAAATCAAACATCTGGAAAAGTGACTGGGCGATACCAATAGGGCAGCCCTAATTTCACTCTGCTCCTTCAGTGGTGTCTCCCCCATGGTCTGCTGCATGCCTGGGGAACGTGTCTGCCTTCAGACCCATTGCCTCAGGTGGGGTGCTGAGAGCCAAGAAAGAGGACAGCGCGAGGTGCGGGCTGCAGCACAGGGAGGTGGAGGCTTCAGCAAGAGCCTGGGGTTGCTGACCCCATGCCTGCTGGCAGCAGGGAGGAAAGGCCGAGAGGGAGTTCTGAACCACCTGGCATCTATGCTCACACACACAGAACATGCAGAACACACACACACACACGCACACACAGCCTGCCTCAAGATTCAAGGGTCTGAAAATCCAGTTTCCAGTCAACACCCTCAGCAGTCCTTTCTTCTTGCCTCTGTGCTATTCTGCTGAGGAGGCAGACCAGTGAGTGGCAGAGGGGACATTCCCAGTACGCACACAGGCCCCATCCCAGGGAGGAAAGGCTTAGGTGGCAGCAGAGAGCCTGGAAGCCCTGCGTTCTGCCCCTCCGACGTGAGATGCCCACCTTCCTTCCCTTGCCCTATCTGCAGAGCCTCGTTCCTCGTTCTGCAGGAGGCCATTCCCTCCTGCACCTCCTAGCCCAGGTCCTTGCTGGGGTCCATGCCTGCCTCCCCAACTTGACTGCTCCTGTGGACAGTATTAATGGATACCTGCTCACCATCCCTTGCTAACTTCTCTTATTCATGGTCAGAAGAGAGTTTAATATGATTCAATTCTTTTGAAAAGAATATGATTTCCTCTTGATTTCAATATTCAAGGTAACTTGTGGGCTTCATAACAGGAAGAATAGTGCTGGCTACCTCTTACTGCACATAAACGTATACTAGTCACTGAACTCAACAGCAGAGCCAGAATTTAAGCCAGGGCTGTCTGGCGGTTCTACAGCCTGGACTCTGTAGAGAACTTTCCCCAAACTCTACTGCTGAGGAAATTGCCTTTTAGGACAGGGGCCTGGTATGTTTTTCCGTAAACCACGAATTATTTTCATGCCAAACAGAAACCTCATGAAGACATCTATGTTTCACAAGATACTATCAAGACGAAGGTGGCCCAGGGTTGAAGGCAGGCATCGGTGCCTGCAGTTGAACCAATTCCAGTGGGGTGGGCCTACCAGAGCTTTCCAGGCTGCTCTCCCTGCAGCAAGTTTCGGCATGCTCTCAGCACCTGCCCGAACTCAGAGTGACACCCCAGTGTGCCCAAGGGACTTTAAAAAAACACATCCACATGAAGAACTGAGGAAGTGGGAAGGCTCTGGGATTCTCAGGGTGGAAAGAGCCCTGGATGGCACCTGATCATGGGAGGATTCCCTCTGAAGCCCCAGGGAAGGAGCACGCCCTTCTCCACGCAGCAAGCTCGTCCCTGCATAGACCAGAGATCCTCTGCCCAGACCCCTTCCCAACTCTCTGAACTTTCTCTTCAACAGGCCCTCACCACTGTGGCTGCCTGCTCTTTCTTCTGAAAGTGCTCTTGTCAGTCAACAGTGGGACAGTGTTCTAGGGGTGGCCAACCCAGTGTTCAGCCCTCTGTGGGCAGCAAGTAGTGGTCTGCATTCTTCCTTCAGTATTCTAGCCTGAGTTTTTTAGTTGTGTCTCAGACCCACCCCCTGGGGGGCCTGGTCACTGATGTCACAAGGAACTTGTGAGGAGGTTCCCTAAATCCAAGGAGACCTGAGCCCTGGACATGTGACTTCAAGTCAAGCACTTCCCTGTGCCTGGCACTGTGCAGACGCTGGAAAAAAAAATAGAGGTGGGCTTCCCCCGGCATTGGATCCTGAGTACACCCACCTGACACCTTGTGGGCTGACGACAGGCTGTAGTCCTGGTACTGTGTGGCATAGCACTGTGCGGGGAACCTGCTCTTGCTGTTCTCCCCGGGACTGACGGCAGATGGAGGCTGTGGCAGCGGCAGATGTCTCAGGGGATGGCCCAGGCCCCTCACAGGATTTTGGGTGAACTTACCTGAAAGACCAAAGTCAGAGGGTGACGGTAGCACTGGCCTGAGGCAGGGGAGAGGCCAGGAAGCCCTAGCATCCCTTTCCTTTATAAAAGGTGCTCAGAGTCACCAGAACTACAGCCAGCCTTCAGGACCCTCTGATGGCATCATCTAAGTCAGAGTGGAAATGGAAAAGTTGGGTGTGTGGCACTGGGGGAGGGACAGAGGATATCACCCCATTCTAACAAGGCTCAGAGAGGCAGGTACGGTCTGTGGTGAGTGAATGGAAGAACCAGGATAGGCTCCTGAGCCCCAGTCCTTCCAGCAGAACCCCCAGGAGGCCTAGGCCTGTGGCCGCTGCTCACCATTGGGGACATTTGCGCTCAGTGGCTTGTCCGGCATCAAAGGGCAGCTCCCACCCCTGAGGTTCTTCATCCGTTTCCACATCAAATGTGAAGTGCTGCCACCAGGTGGGTCCCCCTGGGAGTAAGAAGGGCAGATGGAAAGGGGAAAGGGCCAGAAAACCAGGTCCCCAGACTGGGTGGGTTGGGTGGGCCTGGAACAGGGCTGTCACTGGCTTGAAAGGGCCACATCCCCACCCCTCTCAGCAGCCCTGGGTTCCCTAAGGTCTATGGACAGGCCCCTGTGGCCAGTCGGGATGGCTCACCCCACTCAGGTCCTGGAAGGCTTGCTCTTCATACTCCAGCTGTCGCTTCAGCTTCAGCTTGTTGGAGAGGGCTACCATGGCCGGGCTCAGCACGTCTGGGCCTCGAGCCCCAAAACCCTTTGCAGACCTGCCAAGCCCGAAAGAGCAGGCTATGAGGGAGCCTGAAGCCTCATGCCACCCAGTGCCCTCTCATCTTAGGGGCCCTTCCAGGCCCAATGCTTATGCCTGTGATGACTCAAAGACCCAAAAGACACAGTCTCAGAGGCAGGCTGTGTACCCGCAGGCCAAGCCCGAGCTCTGCCTCCTTCCTCAGCTGTAAGATGCTGAAGGGCTCAAGCCTCCTGGTCTGGGGACGGTGGCCGCTTGGCTGGGCAGTGTTAGTCCTTAGGTGGTTTCTTCTGCTCCGTCTCTCCCCTGCCTTTTGCTCCCACTGAAAACTAGTTAGGCTGCTCTCTAAAGGTCAAGTACCACCGGCCCCTGGGAGTGGCAGGTCATGTACCAACCACTGTGGCTTAGCCCAGCGAGCTCTCAGCTGGTGAAATGAGCATGCTGGGGAGATGGGAAGGCACTTCTGGAGCCTGGGCACAGCTCGGAGAGGCTGCAGTGGTGGGGACCCGGGGGCAGTCAAAAGGCAAGGGGGAGGCATGGGCATCTTTTTGCTTTTTTCAACCAGGGAAAATCATCACTCAGTTTTCTGTGTTCTGTGGCTCAGATGATGAACCCAGGTAAGAAAGGCATTCTGGTGGTAGTTCGAAGGGAGACACTGAGGTACAGGGCGCTCAACAAGCCGCCACTTTGCCTGCCCTCAGTCTCCTCCAGCCCAGATAAAAACCTGTCCTACGCTAGGCCTCACGTGGCTCGAGGTGATTCCCCCAAAGTCTGAGCTCAGAGAAGGGCTAAATGGGGTATCAGATGGCTGTGGAGAGGGGCAGGGGCCTCCCTGGGGGTCCAGCTATCTCACTAGTGGGTGCTTCTCTGTTCCGGCCCTACTGGTGCAGCCGAGTGTCTGCCACTTACCTTGTCTTGAATGTGGAGACATGGGGCGGGGAGACAGGGGGCCCCAATGGTGCCGCTCCCAAGAACTCTGTGCGCTGATCCCCGACGGCCCACTTTGTGGGCCCAAAATGTAATGGTGGATCTGGGGGCCACTGGGTATTGGATCTGCCCCCCATGGAAGAGAGAGGGGTGCTGGCCTGGCCACAGCATGGTGGCAGGGATGCTTTGCTTCCGGCATCAAAGAAGATGGAGGACATGGGCCGGTGCTCGGGCTCTGTCTTCTTGCTCTCCAGCTGCTGCTGAAACTTGTCCAGGAGGAAGGGACTGTGCGGGGCTACAGGGGCCAGTGGCTGGAAGATGTTTGTCATGGCACTGAAGCAGTGCTGGGGGGTGGACTGTGGGTTCTCCGCCAAGAGCCGCTCCTCGGGGCAGATGGGGCTCAGCTGGAAGTCTTCCCCGTCCATGGGAATATAGGGTGCCAGTGTCTCCAAGTCCAGCTCATTGAAATCCGTCTGAGGGGAGACAGCACGGGCAAAGAGGCAAGGGGGTTGGTACGACCTCACAAACACTATTCCAACTCGGCTCCTGCAGAGCCATTCATCTCAAGTACCATTTCACAGTGCTGCTCAAACACCTCCACTGGCTCCCTAGGGCCTATCAGGAAAACCTCAGACTTGGCTGTGTCACGTACATGACCTTGTATCATGTACCAGCCTTCTCCCGAGGTGACCCCCTCTTCACCCTGCACATTGAGAAATGTTCTCCTCTCTCCATCCCACCTGCCAGAGCCCGCCTTCTCTCTTGAAGCCGAGCCAGCCCTGTCTACTCCAGCCTGTGGTGGTTGTCCTTGTCCTACAATGCTTAGGCCTGTGGTGCACACTGTGGCTTTTTTGTCCTCTTCTCCCTCCTGTAAGCTGGCACGGGCCTAAGCAAGCAATGAGTGTCCAGGTCCATCTGTGGACTCTTGCAGAGGAATAGCCAGACCCCAGGGATAGAAGGACTTTGGTTCCAATCAGCAGATACTCAGATCATCCCTTAGCATGGCAGTATCATGACGGACGCTACAGGGAATATAAGCAGATGCGGAAAACAGTTTCTACCTTCAGAGACTGACACCCTCACTGGGTGTCAGCTGACTAATGACTGCAATACTAAGCAATCTTTAAGGAGCAGAAGCAGATAGTTGTGATTAAGTGCCACATGATACATACTACAGGAGTTCTGAGGAGGGAGGGTGATAGAAAAGCTAAAATAGGGAACGTTTTGCAGAGTAGCTGGGATTTGTGCCAAGTAGGATCAAGATACAAACTAAATGGTAAAGCAGAAATCTGGTTGAACTCAAGACTAAGATAAATGGGGGATTAATGGTTTTCCCTGGGGTTTTGTAAGACACGTACCCCTCCCTCTACCTTATCCTTGTTTACATAGTTTTTGCAAGAACACTGGCCTTATGTAATAAATGTGTTCTTGAAAAGTTTATGTAAATGAAAAATTGTCAAACAGATGTTATTTTAAAATGCATTTCATATAAAATGATTATTTTTTTAAATCACAAGATGAATGTGTTTGTAAAGGGATTGTCCCCTATGTTTATACATGTTTTTTGCATTTGGCTATGCTTGTTAAATGTAGGGCCTGTTTAAAGAAAGGTGCAGTGGTATTTCGGTTTTCATGTGCACTAAGAAAGTTATCTAAGGAGATAGATATGCTGGAAGAACTGGATTTGACAGTGGGAGGAGGGGGTGACCACAGGTTCCATTAGCCTGCACTCTCACCTTGTTCAGGCACACACCCTACCCTGATCTCCACAGCCACCTACCTGGGTACTGCATTGGTCCTTGGCCTCTGTGTCCATGGCGAAGAGCTTCTCAATCACTTCAATCTTCAGGTCGTTATCCAAAGATGTATAATAGTCTTCAGGGCTATTGGGCTAGGGGCCAGGAAGGAGGGGGACAGAGTCAAAGATATGGCACTGGTCTCCCCAGAACTCCAGCACGGAAGAAGAAATGCATTCCCGGACCCAAAGGTTCAATTCCATTCCACCACACAACTATTTGTAGAGGGGCCACTAATTAACAAGCTGTATGAATTAGGTCAATTCATCAACCTTTTTCAGCTCCAGTCTCCTCCTCATAAAATGAGGCTACTATCGCTTCACAGGTTGTCCTTCTTGAGGAACAAACAGAATACAGGCTGCGGCCAGCAGGGCTGTGCAAACTGCAGCTCTATGCCACATATGGGATGTTACTGCCCTGCACAGGGACTGAACTGGGGGCTCAAAGCCCTTCAAGGAGCTTATTTCAGTGGGGTTGGGGGATGAACACTGAAAGGAAGGAAATAGCTCTGATACCTGGTAGGTAAGTGTCACGGCCACTCTAGGGGGCTCTGTGATAACTGGAGAAGGAGAAGGACAGTACCTGTCCCAAATGTCCCTTCAGCCATCTGGCAGCAGTCATACATAAGGAGCCCTCTCTGTGTGCTCGCCATAAGAGGGCTGCTCACCGTGGAGCAGCTGCTGCTGCTGGTGGCACTGGGGGTGGTGCTGCCCGGGGCGGCTGCCTGGGGCACGGTGAAGGCAGGCAGGCTCCCAGCCTCGCTCTGGGTGCTGTGGCTCCTCAACTCTGTGGCCCACGGCTGGCTCGGGGGCAAGATGGCCTTGCCATAGGCTGAGGACTCCTCGAAGTTCTGATTCCCTGTGGAGACAAGGGCCTGGGAGGTGAACACCCACAACCATCGGGCTCACCCCAAGGCAGACGAGTCCCAAACACTGCAGAGAAGGCCCTAAGAGGGTCTGGAAGGCATGCCTGGGGCTAGGCACACCCTGGGGCTTAGCTGGGACACACAGGCCTCTGACTCTGGCTGAGTCAATGTAGAGACTCCCTGTAAAGGGAACAGTCTCCTGGAACATTTAATTTTCAGAGACTAAATATAGTAGGAGCCACTGTTCCCTAAGGAGCAATCCGGAAGGGTAGACAAGGAAGGTATGAGAGGAGAATTGGGCTATTTGCCTCAGTACTGCCACAAACAAGCTGCGAGACCTACTGGCCAAGGGCCCGCTGCATTTGAGATTCTCTTCAGCTGCAATCCTCACGTGGCTGCTGTAGAACACATCTAAAGGGGGCTGACACAGTCCAGGGTGAGCACCACTCTTGCAGCCACAGCAAGGCCAGGAGAGGGTGGCAGCGGGTTGCTAACTGGGGAGCATGGGGCTTCAAGGGTGTTTCCAGGATAGGAGCAGCAGAGGGCTGAAAACCCTGCTGGGGTCCCCAGTGACTTACATCCCTAGAGACAGGCAGACACTTCAATGAAGTCGTTGGTTTGAGGGCTTAATCCCAGGCCTCAATATGTTCTCTGTGTTTTTGGAATTATCCTTCCCAACATTATTCCAACTTAGCTCTCTGCCTAAATAAGCAATCTGTCCTTCCAGACCCTGGTAGGAATTGGCCCCTTCTCTTTGACAGTGTCCAAGCTGCCTCGGAGCAGATCCCTCACCTCTGCCGTCCCTCTCATCTCAGACTCTCACCACCCGTGGTGGAGAATCGACTCCTCAGGGGAGCGTCCTCTCTTAACCCCTCCTCATACAGCACTTGCTGAGGTCGGATATGGGATGGTCTTATCAGGGCAGAAGTGTGTGGTGTTCTTTTGTGCTCAGCAGAGCCTGGCCTCTAACAGGTGATTAACAAGACTTGGGGAAGGGGCTGGGGTAGCTCTGGTTAAGAAAAAGCTGTAGCCAGGGAGGCCTGTTATGGTAAGAACTCTTCCCAGCCCCAACAGGGTTCCAGGGGCCTGGCTTAGCTAAGAAGCACCCACCGAAATCCAGAGAGATGATGGCGTCTCCTGGGGTGGGAGCCAGCTGGGCCAGCTCCTCAGGCTCCTCCTTTAGCTTGGTGAATAGGAAGTTACTCTTCTCAGACACAGCCCCCTTGCCACTGCTATCAAAGATGCTGTTCATGGCCATCAGGTGGGGCTTGAACAGGGATTCTGTCTGGTCCATGGAGAACACCACGTCATTCTTCTCAATCTCACTAATGGGGGAAAAGAGCCGTTCAGACCTTCCACATTTTCTAGAAAACTTCTGCTCCCCTAGATGCATGGAAACCCTGACAGCTAAGCTCTCAGACAAAAAATGGGTAGGACCCCAGGCATTGGCATCTTATAAAGAACCACACAATAGAAGTGTGTGAGCCATGGAGGTAGTGACAACAGGGGTATCCTCTGAATGTATGTCCATTTCGGATTGTGTTTTATTAAATATTATTGCACTTGAGTGGGGTAGTATGTATGAGGTCTGAATGCTTTTGTTTTTCCCTATTTCTAGAAACAACTAGAAATGACCTCCTCTAGCTTTCTTTCCAGGTACTATAGAGTGAAGGCATGACATCTTTTTTTCCCAAAAGCATGACCAATTCTCTTTCCTTTTTCCCCATTCAGAAAATATTGACTACTGTGTGCTATCTGCCTCCCCACCTGGGTCAGATGCATGGCATAAATGACAGATGACAGGGAAAGGGCAGAAAAAAAAAATCCCAACCCAGTATCTCACTGTTCCAAGACATCCACAGGAATCCTCTCAGTCACTAGTGTTAGCCCTGCAAGAGCTCCCTGAGGTGGTGCCCAGGGCGCTGAGAGGCCTGGCATCTCCTAGGCCTGTTATCCTCAGTCTGGGAAGCTTGGGCACCCCCACATACCCTGCACCAAGGCCCGCCAGCCCTCACACACTCACCTCAGAACGTAGTTGACACACATGATGCACTGGGGCTGCAGGTTGCGAGGGTTGTAGATGACTGTCCCCTGGGTTTCCAGCCACACGTAGCCCCCATGCTTTGCGAGCATCCGGTACTGGCCACTTACCACCTGGCCCTTGGTGCACACTAGGGGAGAAACAGAGCTGAGCTTAGGGAGATGGGGCAGGGGTGTGCACCACAGGCTCAGCAGATCCCATGGGAGGGCAGTCTAATCTGCAGAGGAACAGACAGAACAGGGCACCAGGACAGTGAGGACCAGGGAGAGTGACCTGGGAGGGAGCTTAGGGATCACCTCAGCCAACTCTTCATTTTAAATCTAGGAAAAAGAGGTGAGAAGAGGTGAAGTGACTTGCCCAAGGCTGTCTACTGAGGGAGGGACCCACTCACTGTACAACTGTGCAGTGGCCCATCCCCAATCCCTGGACAAGTCGGGCTCACAGACCAGCTCAGCTATAAGCAGAACCAAGACCAGAACCTGCCTTGCTTTCTTCACGGGGTTCAATGGGAAGAAGCCCCTTCACACTGGGTAAGGGGAGCCATCCCCTGTCAAGCACTCCAGGTTGGGGGACTTCTAAGCAGCTTAGAGAAAGCCTGACCTCAGGGCAGTTTTTTTGTTTTTTTTGTTTTTTTTCCCAGCAGACCCACCACCAATACCTGCTTATGGATAAAAGCATTTAAAAAATTGACATCTTTGATTTTTCCAGGTCATCTGTCAGGCTTGCCACCTTTCGGTGCGGTGAAGGTTTGTGATCCACAGCAAAGGCAGAGGCAAACCACCTCACCCTTTCTCAGTTGGGGTTGAGAAAGGTCTGGGACCCTGGCAGCCCACACAGTCTCTTCATAAGCTGTAATAAATCTCTTACACTCCTTCTTCTCCCAACTGCCCAGCTAGGCTTCCTGCTTATGAGGTTTTTCCTCTTCTAGATTGTTCTACCAAGTGTTCATTTAAAAAGTGCTTTTATTGTCTACCTTGGGGAAGAGTTTCACATCACAGGACTGTCCCTCCCCAGTCTAGAATGCTCCATCTTCTGCCATTCAAAAGGAATCAATACATCTCTTTAAAGTCTAATAATGTTAGAATTTTTGATATTTTTCTGAACTGCCCATTCCTTGGGAATTTACAGAACTGCAGCTCAGAAGCTCCCAAATCACAGAGACGTTAGGAAAGAGCATGGAGGGAGGATTGGGAAATCTTGCTAGTTTGGGGATTTTGAGAAAGGAACAATCCTTCTTGGTTTTGGTTTCCTCCTCTGAAAAATAGGATATTGATAATAATAGTAGTAATGGTAATAATCGTCATCATTAGCTACCCAGTATACCACTGCCATTTGTACTGAGGATCGAATATATCTACATGGCTTATCAGGTACATAAGTGTTGACCAACTGTCACCAACAAATTTTGTATAGGAAAAGCCACCTCTTTCTTAGAGGTACTAATACGTATTGTGCCCATGCCCTGTCACAGACAATTTGTTACACGTTGGTAGAGAGTGTCATGAGGGGCCACTTGGGAGGATATCCAGGTTCTCCTGGTAGGCTTGCAGGCCTCCTCCCCATTCACCAGCCCCGTACAGCTGAAGAATGTGGCTGTCTTCATACTAGTGCAGTTTAGTAATCCTTTACACTTACGTTTTGCTTTCCTCTTCAAAATTTAACAAGCACCTGCAAGGTGCAAGAATTCCTGTAACTTCCATTTGTATAGTGTTCAAAACTATCTGATAAGATGAAATCATTTCTGCAAAGCATTTAGAACAGTGCCTGGCACATAGGGCACTCACTAAGGATTAGGTCATCATCACTGCATTTCATAGGCAACACCATAGGGTGCCTGTTATTATTCCCACTTTACAGCTGAAGAAACTGAGGCTTAAAACTACAGAGTGATTCCACCTCAGTGGAAACAGTAGACAGAATTATAGTTCAAATTAAAGATTCCTAGTCTAAGCTTTTTCTGTTTGCTCTTAATTTTTAAAAATAAATGTCATTGTGGTCAAATTTACCTTCAATAAAACACACACCCATTTGAAGTATACAGTTCAACAAGTTTTGACATACGTACAGTGAAGGCGTAGAACTTTTCCATCACCGCCCCCACCACCCCATTTTTTATGCCTCTAGGCAATCTTCATTCCCACCCTGGTTCCAGGCAACCACTCTTCTGCTTTTTGCCACTATATATTCGAATTGTCTTTTCTAGATTTCCATGTAAGTGGAATTGTATAGGAGTATCTACTCTTGTGTCTGGCTTCTCTACACTCAGCATGTTTTGAGATTCATCATGGTGTTGCAGGCATTTGTGGTTTATTCCTTTTCATCAGTGAGTTGTATTCCGTTGCATGGATGTACCATAATTTGTTTATCCATCTGCCTGTTGATGGATGTTTGAGTTGTTTTCAGTTTTTGGTTGCTGTAAACATTTGTGCATAACTCTTTGTATGGACATATTTTCATTTCTCGTGGGTGCAGCTAGGAGTGCAATTGCTGGATTACATGTAAAGTATATGTTTGTAAGAAGCTGCCAAGTTATTTCCAAAGTGGTTGTATCATCTTGTCTAATCTTTTAAACAAAATCCTGTGCCACAGGAAGGATAAGTATTTTCTTTTAATACAAGAAAACTGAGGCCAGAGGGTTATGATTTGCTTCACAGCTTACAAGACAATAGTGACAGAGTCTGAGCTACACAACACGTCTTGTGGCTCCTAGTACAATGGTCTCTTGATTACCTGGGTCCACAAATCACTGGAAAGACCAAATTTGCTGTTGCCACTGTCCTAAACCATCATGGACTCAACCAAGGAAACAACTTTTACCCTCTCTGCTCTCCCTTTAGCTGTGCCAGAGGCTCCTCTGCTGCACTAAACTGATCTTGCACAATTTCAAGTGCCTGTATTTAACTTATTTAGACGGTCCTTAATGCAAACCAAATTCAGGGCTCTTACTCTTTTATATCAAACAGTGCAGCAAGCAAAGGTTTTAACTGCATTTCTAACAATTGCAGGCAAGGGCCTGCTCTGTCAGTAGAATATAATTAACGCCAGCTTTCTAATCATCTGGTCATTAATGCCAGCCTTAGTGAAGGGCCTGCTGCTTAATAGATAGGAAAATAAGATTAAAGGCCATAAAAAGCCTAACAGCACATAATATCCTCATATAACAAAGGCAAACTGACCCCTAACCTCGCCCCCAGAGTAACAATGTACAAATTATTAATCCATTTGGAAATTACAGCTTTCAATGATCTAAATCTGGTTGAGCTTCTCCAGGCATTTCAACGGTAAACCTTTACAGGCTAAGACATACATGGGTGTCAATGAGGGACCCCGGTGTGTGACTCTGGACCCGTCTCAAACCTGAGCGTCCAGTTATTCTAGAGCATGTGTGTGACTCTGTAGTGCAACTTTATTTGCAAAACCTCAAGGACAAATGAGAGACACGGGTCGGGGCAAGGGGCAAGCTCCTGTCAGTTATAACTGTCATTAACCCAATTTCCAACCCATGCAGATTTCCCTTTGCTGGATGTGGGCTTGTCCCTTTGCTAGCTACGGGTTTCTGAGCTCAGGGCAGCTTTACTTAGCTCCATCAGGGTGAGAGAGAGCCTGTGATTTCTATTTGGGCTGTGAATTACCTTTTAGTGTGCCTAATGCGTAAATACATGGATTCAGTGAAAAGCACCTTATTTTCTCTAGAGTCAGCAGAAAACATGAACCATTTTTATCCTAACCCTTTTTATAGATTGAAGATGTTCTAAAGAAGAACAACAGGGAAAATCCTTTTTATATGCCTAGTGAGAAGTCACAATTTTTCTTTCCTTTAGACAGTAGCTTCTTCTGCTTTCCCATCCTAGAAGATAAAAGACAATACCGTCCTCCAAGAATTCCCAGAAATTTTTACATTTGTCCTTTGCTTTGGCTTCACCCTTAGCTTGGAAGGAAGGCTAGACTTTTCCCTAGTTTTACATCTAAAGTCAGGAAGGTCCAGAAAGCCGGGCCCTGGGGAATCAGTGGGTTGGCTGGGCCAGAGCCTGGGCCCCTGAGTCCCAGTGCCTGGATGATTCTGTCACCTGCCTTTGAAAACAGGAACCCCTCAGGGACCAGGAAGCATGAAGGAATCCCAAAGGGAAGGCTGGAACCAGATGTTACAATTTCAAAGCTTGGGCAGGCTAAGGTGGGGTCACATTCACAGGCATAAAAGAGTACCTCCACCCCTACCCCACTTCTGGGTTCCTGAGTGGGGCTGAATCTAGGTGGTGGTGGTGGTTGTTGTTGCTGCTGTTGTTGTTGTGTGTGTGTGTGTGTGTGTGTGTGTTGCCAGAGAGCACAGTGAGAAGCTTCTCTGAGATAATCATAATGGGCCCTGTTGTACTGTCAAATCAAACCCAAAGCCATGAGGAAGAGGCAGAGGAACCAATAAGAAAGAAAAGATCTCACTCCTTAAGAGTGTTAACCATGTTCACATACAGCTTGCGGGGTTGTGGCTCTGTTGGCTGCTCTGAACTTGGCTGCCCTAGCCTTGGGGTAGATGGATGGATTTAGGAACCATGGACAAATGGCTGCACTTCATTTTCTCCATTGCCAGCAGGGCCATTGGGAATCTTCTCAGACTTATTTTACCCATTTTTAATCCTCCCGTAATCCTCTCAGCACCACTGTCTGTACCACTGTGGGCACTTGTTTTGAAGCATTCTTTTCCAAATACAGTTTTGCCCATGGGTTTATATAGTGCATTTAGTGCCTGTTCTGTACCAGACCCTATGCTAGATACTGAGGTTAAAGATATGAGCCACTTGTTCCCACGGAGCCCACACTCCTCTTTTTTTCCTCAGAAATAAGACCCCTTAGGGCAGGAATCAATTCTACCAAGTTACATCACCCCCAGTGGGCCAAGTACAGGGTTATAGGCCCAGAGCCCTTGCACAGTGATGAGTTGCATGGATTCAAGGGAATGGTCCTGGATCACCTGCCTATAGGAAGCCTGAATTGGGAACATAGCCAAGGATATACTCTAGAACTTCTCTGTCCAATATGGTAGCTACAAGCCAAGTGTGGATATTTACATTTAAATTAATTAAAACTACATTGTATAAAATTCAGTTCCTCGGTTTCTCTGGCCACATTTCAAGAACATTTCCACTGCAGAAAGTTCTATCGGGCAGCCCTCTTCTAGAGTCCTTGCACAACTCAGGCTTCCTTCAAACTGCAAAGCAGAGTTTCCATACGCCATCCCTGGGTTGCCTGGACAGCCTTTTCTAAAGCTCCCTTGATCCAGCAAGCAAGCTCTCTGAGAACTGTGGCCTACCTCAACACATGTGTTAAGCTGGACCCATACTATTTTCCCTTCTGTTCAGCCTGAGCCTCCCCGATCCTTCAAGGTCCAACTCGAGTGTCCTTGCCTCAATTCCCCCTGCCCTCCTCTTCTGTGAATGTATGTACTCGAATGTACAGCATGCACCCAAGTTGATGATATGTTGAATTACATGTTACTCTCTACAGTGCTGTTCCACAGGGTGTACAAACCACTGACTGCACACAGGCACTCCGTGGAGGTGGTATGGGAGACTGAGACTCAACCCATCCTCTAGTGTCTCAGCTGTGGACCTTGGCACGGGTGTGTCTCCCTGGAGGAAGTGTCCTTTTTCTGATATGCACCAAGGAGTCTATAGGCTGGTGGCCAGCCTTGGTTTTCTAACCATCTTGAGGGCGTGAGTCTTGTCTGCCACACAAGACAGCAGCTCTGTGGAGGAAGTGACCTGGTCTTCTTTCTCACCAATCACCCCCCACGCAAGGCCAGATACCACAGACACAAGGAAGCCACAAGGGGCACTCCTGGAACTCACAGTTCTGGTGACTCTTGGTCATGTTCTCGGAGTCTAGCGCATGGTAGAATTCATAGGCTGAGCGGCCAAGCAGCTCCTCAGGGTGGTAACCAATCAGTTCTGTGATTCTGAGTTTTCAAAAAGGCAGCATGTAAGGAAAAAAGACCATATTAACTTAGCACAGCATGTAGGCAGCAGCTAACCCCAGAAGGCAAATCAAACACGCACATGCAGACGAACACAATCCAGACTTTCTCGTTGTACCATGTATCCAAGCAAAAGAACACTGTGCTCAATCTACAATTGCAGGTTTAACCAAACCCCTGTTGGTCCTGCCCTTCCTGAAGCCATGTTTGGGAGGAGAGAAAAGCACCAGTTCTGAGGACTCCCTCTCCCCACCACCCCGGTACACACACACGTCTGTTCTCCAAGTACCACTGGAAGGGACTCAACCCCAGGTTTTTGCAGATGAGGGAGTAGACATCCAGGAAGGGCAGACAATTGCTTGATACCTACACAAGTGTCCAGGGACAGAGCAAGAATGAAAACTGGGGCCTCTAGTTGCTAGGTCAAGCTCATTCTAGTAGAAGGCAGTATAAATGAAACATGAAAATGATGTGGCCCCAGGTAGAGCCACCTTTGTCTCTGTGTCAACCAGCATGTGAGAGGGAGTCCAGGCAGGCAGAGGCAGTCTGTGCTTAAGCCTTCACTTTTCTGCAGGGCCTGCCTGTGACCTCAGGTGCCTTCAGACACCAGGTTTGCCTTCCATGACTTTTTCCACTTGTCCCCCACATTTCAAGGAAAGGAGGGCGGCAAGGAGGTGCTGAGAGGAAGAAATATTAAATCATAGTCACAGAAATGTGCCTTATCATACTCCAATAGGCAGCTCTGAGATGACAGCACTTGGCTGTCATTTCAGTGTCCCTTTCTTCATTCTGTAAGGTATCTGGTTTTGATGGGAAGTGGGCAGAGGAAGGGGTGCATGTGGAGAACCATGAAGGATCACTTAACACTCTTAGGACCCTTTGTTCTGTGCTGGAATCCCTAAAATAAAAAAAAGCCCTGCCTGAGAACCACCAGGTTGGCCGCTTTACCCAATATCATGTCCTATTATATCAGGCTATATAATACCTCCATATTATCTCTCAAAATCTAGGTTCTCTCACAAACTTTAAATAATGGCTTCACTGTCTTGTTTACTTGGCCTATCACAAGTTAGAAGTGATGCCACAGTCTCATTATTACAACTCTACTTCAGAAGGCATGACTCCTGGATACAGTCCTGTAATTTATCCTTGTAGGGGATCAATAACACGGAGAGGAAAGCAGAAGCAGTGGCTCCTTATTTCCTGTCTCTGCTCTAAACCCATCCCCCAAACAGTTCAGCTTTCATATGTCTGTCAGACCAAATTGCCCTAAAATACTATTTGCATCCTGCCACACCCCTATTTAAGTATCTACAACTTTCACTTTTGCCAACCAGACCAAGAGTAAATGCTGCCTAACTTTCAGTTCCCCCGAGAACCTACTCTCCACCTTTTGAGCAATTCGATTTTCAACTCATCTGTAAAATGTTATGCACCCTCTGTCATGGAAGACCCCTCTCCCCTCAGTTCCCCATGCCTGGAAAACTCATTCTTGCTGCAGAAGCTTTATGCCTTCTCTTCTCCCCTCTTCTCCAAGCCCTGACACCTCCAGGACCAGCTCAAAGCCTCATCTTCTTCCCAGAGCCCTCTCCAATTCCTCCAGCATGACATCTCTCATGAAGTCCTAAGGAGTATGCACAGTATTACAGAAAATTATGCATTTGTCTCCTCACATCCTAGGCTGTCAATCTCTAACTCAGGGACCACTTTCTCCTTTTGCTTCCTCTATAATGGGTGCTTAGTAAAAAACCTCAACAGCTGACCAGTAGATTGATTTTCTCTTTGAACCTACGGCACAAACAGACACCTGTCTATCCCAGCACTGCTAAGGAAGCTGGGCACTAAGGATCTACTTTTCTTTCTAGAATAACGCGATTAACTGTCTCAATGTGCATGCACACACACACACACACACAGAACCTGTCATGATATTCTGTCTATCCTTTCTTCATTCTGTAAGGCATCTGGTTTTGAAGTGGGCAGAGAAGAGACAAGTTCTCTGCTTGGGTGAGACTTTGGAGGTTAAAGCCTTTGTCAAACAAGGAGCAGCTCAACAGGGCTGAGAGGCTTAGGTCTCAGCTGATTCAGCCCAATGGAGATTTCTCCAGTGAGATCCTAGCAGCTCATTTGTGCCAGCCAGCTAGTCTCAGAGCAGAAGGATCTGTCCCTTCGCTTGACCCTGAGCAGAGAGGTCTCTGAACTCATTAGCAATGGATACATTATCTGGCAACCTGACCCTGGGGCTGGCACCCAAGTACACCTTGGCAAAGGTGGAGACGGGGGGGAACAAGGAGACAGAACAGTGCTGGTCCTACGATCAACTAGCTTCGCTGCTGGGTCAGATGACTTTCAAGCTTAGCCTGGGAACTAGAACTGCATGAGTGAGCCCTGCTGACAATGGCCTGGCCATCTACAGGCTCACCGACTTGCCAGATAAACTGCTTCTGTTCCTGGGCAGGTATAGAATTTTCTAGAGACCCTCCAAAATGAGTCTACTGGCATGCTAGGAAAGATGTCTTTCTACTCTCCGAAGGAATTAAATTTCCTTTCGAGATTACAATCTTTAAATTAAAATGTTCAAAGTAGATGTTTATTATAATCAGCCTCATAATAAAATGTTTATCTAATTAATGTATCATCCATTCAAAGGCACACAATGGGCATGTTTTGGAAGTGGACAAACAAACCTAGATTTCAGAACTGCCAGATATCTTCCCAGTAGCAGCTTTCATTTATCTTGTCAACTAAAATAAATATTTAATGTCTTTCTTCATTCCTTTAAACAGACTACTATAAAAACTGGGAAATACACCACATCCCAAACACAATTGAAGAACATTTGAGTTGTCAAACTTCACAAAGCCAGGAAACCCCAACTTAAAGCTCATGGTCATTCGCCCCCATGTGCAGGCACGTAGACGCCAGTGGGGAGGTTAATGAACCGAGCTTGTTTATAAGGTCGCTCCTACGGCACACAAGGGCCTTCCCCGCTCATTTCCCCCAGGCTCCAGACAAGCCTTCCGAGCTGGGCTGTGATAACACAGGTTCATCTGCTCTCTCCATCAGGGGCCAGGGAACTGTTTTTTTTTTTTGTTTTTTTTTTTTCTTTCTTTCTAATTAAGGACCCCTGACTCACTGGGAAAACGAAAATCAGTTGGAGGTCACCCATAAATTTAAAAGTCAACTCAGTAGGGCTGTTCTAAGAGAAGAGAGAAATGTATGAGGACTTAATTCACCAGATTTCAAACATAAGAACAGAGGATACTTTTTAATAATAAAGTCAAAAAACAGCAGACCAAGATGCAGTGAGGAGAGAGATGCAGATAGATAGGCAGCCACAAGGAGGCAGAGGAAGGATGAAAGGAAATAGGAAATACGGTTTTAAAGGGGGTTGTTAAACTCTGAAGTTGGTGTTACCCCAAGTGCATATGTGGGCCAGCTCTCTGAGCTCCAGACTTCAGAGTGAGATGTGCCTTCAAAATGTAAAATGAATGATTCATTGCCCTTTACTCTCAAAACGGTTTAGAAGCTCTATTCAAAATACACCACCTATAGCAGAGTGCTTGCAAAAAAATTATTCTCTTGGCTTCAGTGTGAGTGCTGCCACCTCAAGGGGCAGAGAAAAATCCACCCAAAGGCCTGAGAAGGCTCGCTCTTCTTCCCCGCGTGTAATCGCCAGCACCCATCCACGTGTGGTGCAGCGCCACAGTCCTTGACTTCAGATGCCACTGCCTGGAGTCACGCAAGATCTGGCTGCAGTTTTTACCCCGTTCCCTACACGAGTAAAGGATTTGCTAGGTAAATTAATCATGTAAGCAAGATGGTGAGAGAGTATTTAAACTGTTTAAGAGGATAAAAGTTTTAAGCACTTCGTAACCACCTATTTGTTTTCCAAAGAATGTATCTGCTAATAAATACTTCAAGTCGGCTTGCTTTCCTTCCACACTCTGCCCATCGCCTCTCCTCAGCACCCCGTGATTTATCTCATTTTGGTTTCTATATGTGCTTATAAGCTTTGACACTGCATTTCCTTACTAATACCTACACTGTTCACTAACTCAGATTTCAGTGCCTTTGGTTGGTTTTAATGTATTTTCATCTAGATTTTGTTTGCTTCAAACGGTACTTAAGCTTTGTGTTTTCCTCAAATACTACATGGTTACATGAAATCTATACAACCAGCTCTGTAATTAATGGGAAATCCATTTCTATCCTGTCTGTGGAGTGTTACAGGGTACCTGTGGGGGTAAGTGTATATGTAGGAAGGTTGTGTGTGTGTTTTACAACTTGTGGCTCTTTATTTATAGTTATCCTTACTGACATTATCTTTAGGATCCTCAACCTTTCCCTCACTTTTACCATTTTTACTTATTCTCAACTTCTTTGTACAAAAACAATTCACCATAAATGTATCCACAGAACTAGGAACGTAGGCATCTTGATTTATTAAACTGTAACTCCTGATATGAGTATGTCCTATATTGCATGAATCCAATGACAAAACAGGGTTGCCCTCAAATTCTTTACCTGTAAAAATTGTATGACCCTCTTTGTTGATTTGAAATTTTTACTGTAATTTTGAAAACTTTTCCCCTCGTGATACTGCTCCTATCCACATAATTTGGTTTTATAATTTATTTCTAAGATACAGGAAGACTCCTAAAACTAACAGAATCTTAGTAGGATTATATGATAATTAGAAAGGCTTTGCTTCTATCTCCCTGATGGCTTGGCTTCCTTCACAGTTCTCTCTTTCACCACTAGATGGCACCGCCACATGAATTTAATGAACCACCCTATTTTAAAGTTAAACTACTTGGGAACAACTTTTATCTTCCTTTTGGGTAAATGGAATGTTGTATTTTGTACCATTCACTGTGGTTTCATTAAATGGCTTATGTCTCAAACTCTCAACTCCTGGAGATCAGGAATCATCTCTTTTACTTTGATGTAATGGTCTCTGGCACACAGTTACATGGCAGATGCTCAATAAATGACAGTTCGTAACTGGTTGCTCAGTATTTTGGGAAACAGAGTATGATGCCTGTATTTGAGTCATAAATGAAGAAAAGATCATTAATTCCATCAGTAATGAGGACATTTTTCTTTTACCCTGCTACTCAACTTGCTCCCTTGTCTAGAGCAGTTGACCATAGGTACATAAATGTGATTGATATAATTGTTATGAAATTTACTTTTTAAAGTATTTACTATTTTTAAAATAATTAATGCAAGACTTAATATGGTACTCTGATCCCTCATTAACAGGAGGACAAATGCATTTTGAACCATCTGTATTCCTTTATTCAATTTCAGATGTTTCAGAAATAGGTTGTTTCAGATTCAACTGATTTGACCTGAGAGTTCAGTGTAAAATTAGAGTTGTCTTTTTCTCTTCCACTTCTCTCCCTTCTTTCCTGTCTGCTTTCATCTTTTTCTCCATGACCCTTTTTCTTTTTTTGCTTGATCATGTCTGTGGTCTCAGTATATCTAAGACAAGTACCAAACTGCTTCAAAATTGATTTTGTGGATTCTAACTGCCATACATTTTCTTCAGATTCTAACTTTTCTTGTAGGAAAACAATCCCCTTTGTGGGAATCATAGCCCCTTGTGCAGATGTCATTAAATCTAGTGAATTTTCTGATTAAAATGGAGAACCCCTCACCCCATTAGGCATCATGGACAGGCATTGGTTTTTGCAGCATTTGTCTCTGAAGGGGAATTGAGGCGGACAGTGTGTATATGTGTGCATGTGCATATGCTTCTCCCCATCCCAACACAACGAGTGAAAACAAAACGAGCTACCAAAACCAAAAAATCCCAGGCCTCATCAAAGCAATTAGGATATAACACTTAGGGATTAAGGACTTAAAATAGTCACTTCATCAACTGTCTAAGCCATGTCTGTGCCCTTGTTAACTAATCTGCTAATCGGTTAAACACAACTTCTGTGTGACACAGCATTCTATGTCTTTAAATGCTTCTACATGCAGCTCTCCAGCACCACTGAATTCAGACTTGGGGCCATGTAATTAGATTTCTTGAAAGGCAAGATTTTGCTGAAAATGCAGTGTGTCCCACAGAACTTATAAGCAATATCACCCTCTACATTATGAGTCACAAAGTCCTAAATCACGAGGCTTGATACTTCCTTTAAGCCAGAAGCTACCCTGCCTACCAGCCCTGAGCCAAACTAAGAAGTCAGCAGAGCGTCTTTCCCCTTTCTATGTACATTTCCTCTCCAGCCACATTTAGACATCCAGTTCCTTGTGTTTCTCCCCCTCTTCTTTTGTCCAAAGGTTAGTACCTTAAGAAAATTACCTGAAACTCATTTAAACCAAGATAATGAATAAAGGATAATGCTGAATTACCCTTTCCAGAGGATTTCTTCTCTGTAAAAAGGATCAAAATCTTAAACTGAAAAAAAACTCTCCTATTATCTAGGGATGCCAAGTTATTTTCTGGGACAGTAGGGTTTTCCGAGTGTTTATGGAGTCACATTACGGATGTGCTTCACTCACCAGGGTAAAGCACGTATCTGACTTTCATCATCCACAGCACTATATATGCTCCCAGGCTATATGGCTAGGTCAGCTTGAGCCACTTCACCTCAAAGCCAGTGACACAGGAGCTATGCACTGGGATTGTCCATGTTATCTCACAAGACTACTGAGAGGGGTGCATGAAGCTGTCTTCTGCCCAGAATGTTCACTTGAACACAAAGACTGCATCTGATAAATAACTTTACCTATAACATGGATTCCTACAGTGCCTGTCACTAAAAGGGCGATCTTCTTCTTGAACCACCATCATTATCATCACCACCACCACCACCACCACCACCACCAAGTGCAATAAATGGTGATGTGTCGAAGTTCCAGGACGAAAGGCTTCATACATGACATTTTCTCCCTATGAGGTTAGAGCATTTCTTTCTACTTATATAACTTCCCACTAGCTGCAAAAGCTGTGAGTCTTGGCCCTACTGTGGTCAGAACTGAAGGACAGGAATGACTCAAGGATACTTTTACAAAAGTTCTGAAATTGTGCCACAAGTGGTGGCCCACTCTAAGAAGGGGCGACCAACCAACACCAGGCCAGTCTGGAATCAGAGGAGAGAAACCCCATCCTGGAGAGAAGGGTCCCTCCCATAAAGAAACCAGATGCCCTTGGGATGTCCAGCTGATAAGAGAAAATAAGAGAAAAGTGGATAGGCCTAGGGGAGGCTGAGCAGGAGCTTTTTTCCTGGGGTTCCGTGGTTTCCTGCTGGCTAAGACAAGGCAGATTCTTGCTGATCTGGGGGTCAGATTCTTCCTCTTCCTGCCCCCCAGCCACTAACTGCCTTCAGAAGTGATTTCAGCTCCTTGAGTTTAGTGGAAGATTTTGCTTTGGAGGAGGCCAAGGACAGGAAGTAAGATATAAGCAATAACAAGAAGCCTCACACGTGTTGTGGTGTCTTGACTTCTCAAAGTGCTTGTACAGCCATTATCTCATTTTACAACAACCCCATGAGACAGGTTGAGAAAGTGTTATCTCTATTTTGGAGAAGGGGAAACTGAGATCTCAGGGTTTCCTGAGGAGAAACCCTAGAAGATGAGAAAAGAGTGACAAAGAGCTGCCACAGGAACTATCACCCTGGGACACATGGCGGCTCTAGATGCTGCAGAAAGCTGAGGTCGGGAGGGGAGATCTCTGCCAGGAAGGGCACATCCGGGGTGTGCTGCTCAGCAAGCCGCAGTGGCACTTACTCAAGCCAGGCCTACCCTAGGCCCAGCCTTCTGCATTTCCTGCTCTCCCTGGGGCCGGGCATTGCTCCGGGCATCGGTTCTCCCCATCTTCCTCCTACTTCCCATCATCAGGCTCCACAGTCCCAGAGGCAGGGCTGGTGGGGGAGTTAGGAGCTGTAGGGTGTCTAAATACTCCCTCCTATGACAACTCCAGCCTCTTCCCCACCTGCTTCAATCTTCTAAATGAGCTAAGAACCCGAGATGGCATGACTTACATAAGCAGTCTTAGGCATTCTTTCAACAACTCTAATAAAGGTGATAATAAGAGCTAACACTGAACATTTATTACTAAATTTGAACCTAGGCCATCTAGACCTGAAGCCCATGCTCTTCATCACTACTGTGACTGCCAAGAGACACTGGGCCTGACACTGGGGGTTTAGCGTCCAGCTTAGCTACCTTCATCTTAGCCTTCAAAATGGCTGAACAACAGCCGGAACGGAGTTGCATGCAGGAAGGAATAAGGCAGAGGGAAAGGCTCAGTCAGTAATGGAAGAGGGTCAGTCTCCAGGGCAGAAGCTGATGCTCCTTACTGGCCTCTAAAGCAGGAGTACAGATGGAAGTCTCTAGACTCTTCTCTTCCTCCTGGGTCAGAAAACCGCCTTGAGAATTTCCTCAGGAGCCTGATACATGTATGGAGAAATATGTTCACACCACAATGATGAGAAGAGTTGCGTACCAGGAAAGCTCTGCAGATGGACCCTGTAACTCTGTCCATGGGAGACCACCAAATACAGTACCAGGAACCTCTGAGGGGCACTGATGCAATGAAACAGTGGCACAGGTCCATGAACATGGCACCCGGCAATACCACATCTATGTCTAGTTCCATACCTTTAATACAGACACAACTCCCCCCACACACAGGTAAGACCCATCTCTGCCCACAGCATACACACTTATGGCCCCCTACCTGTCATCACAGTAGGTGAACTTCATGTCCATGCTGTGGCGGCTCAGGAAGGTCTTGCTGTCCAGGGGAATGTCCATGTGGGATGGGTGCTGGATCGGTTCACACATGATGATGAGGCAGGACAGCAGGGGCTCCTTGTAGCCACACAGACTATTGTGAGGAGGGCAGTTGTTGTAGACTTTCACTTGGCCCGTGCAGTGCAAGACCTGAGATAGGCATGGAAGGGTCAGACATGGGGCGGAGTGCTGGGGGTGGGGGTAGGGTCTTAGGCATCCCCCACACTGCCATCGCCCTACACCTGGGACTCCAACCCAGGCCTGATGTTGCCCTACCTTCCAGGTGGCTGACTTGAGGTTGACAGTACGGCCTCTGTTGGTGACCGTGCACTTCATCCTCATGAAGAAGTCCCGCTCTGTGGACATGTCTTTGCTTTTTTTCCCAAAACCAGAGCCTGAATGTGGAAGGATGGGAAGAACCAGCTGAAGTTAGTTTTGTATGGATATTCATGAGAGGGGCCCAGCTGCAGTTTTTCTTGGCAGCCTATTGTTTGTATTTTCCAAATATCTGCTCTCTTAGCACCTGTAGTCTGCCATCAACACTGAGCTCCATCATGGCCTGTGGACTAATGGTTCCCACTCTCCAGCTTATCTCCTCCACTGGAGCATTAACTCCCACAAGGTAGGAGCTGCTGCATCATTTGATTTCCCATTGCTTCTGAAACATGGTCAGTGGTGCCTTCAGAGCAACACGTCAGAGACAATGAGTGCATATCAGCCACTAACTCAGCAACCCTTTTCTGGGGCAAGGACCAGGTCCTTGCAGAAATTCCAAGGGACAATCTGGGTGAGGCCACAGTTACTCCAAGAGTGTAAGCCTCACAGGTTAGAAATGTCTCTCAGACACTCCCGTCTTTCCTTTATATAACCTGTCTCTCAGGAGGAATTTAACTCCTCCTGTACTCCATTTGCAAAATGCAATAGCTGTGTTCAGGATACCATGCCATTAGCTTTCTCCCTGAAGTGACATATGTATCAAGGCTCTAGAGAGACCTCTGGTACGAATCTCCTTACAGTGGATTTGGTGAGCAAGTCCACTTTACAGATTAACTCAACCTGGATCATATCCTCTCTTTCAGCAAGAATTAAATAAATCACCAAGACCAGCAATATAGCTTCCTTCCTTATAGTTGCCAAATAGCCTACCCATTCAGAACCATTTTCCACTTTTTGTAAAACAAAGTAATGAATAGAGTGCCAGCTGAATCCCACTTGTCTATGTCCAAATCCTGCCTACACCACCATCTCTGGTTCCTACTTTCAAAGATATAATCCTGCCCCTACCCAGCATCATAGAACAATCTGGAGCCTTATTTCAAATAGTCACACTCCTTCCTCCAGGAACAGTCACCAGCCCCTGCACTTAAACTTCCAGAGGACCTTGACTTGACTGACATATTCCTGAAGAGTTATGTGTCAAAGGAATTGTGGCACCCTTGAACAAAACTTCAACACCCTTAGGGGACCCCACTCAGTAAGAGACTGAATAGTGAATGTTTTTTAAAAAAGGAGAGAACATTCCTTCATCACGATTATAAAACCATTTCTCCCACACCAAATTATGATTCTTGCCATTTTAATTTTCAGAGGTGGGGTTAGCATACAACGAGATATACCTGTATCTTGGGATCTGGCCCCACCACCAGGACCAGACCAGTTGTTGGGTATGAGGGGGCTGGAGGGATTCATTTGTGGCTGTTGCTTGGGTATTACTGAGGCCTTTTAACTTGCTAACCTCTAGATTCTCCCCATGTTGACACTGGATCTTTCTTTTTTTTTGAAATGGAGTCTCTCTCTGTCGCCAGGCTGGAGTTCAGTGGCATGATCTTGGCTCACTGCAACCTCTGCCTCCTGGGTTCAAGTGATTCTCCTGCCTCCACCTCCCAAGTAGCTGGGATTACAGGCGTGCGCCACCACACCTAGCTAATTTTTCTATTTTTAGTAGAGACGGGGTTTCACCATGTTGGCCAGGATGGTCTCGATCTCTTGATCTCGTGATCCACCCACCTCAGCCTCCCAAAGTCCTGGGATTACAGGTGTGAGCCACCGTGCCCGGCCTTGATCATTCTTTCTAAACACTGCTCCACACAGATCACTCCACCCCTGCACAAAAACCTTCAATAGTTCCCCATTGTCTATGGAATAAAGTTCAAGGCCCTCCACCTGGCCTTCAAAACCTTCCGCAATCTGCCTCATGGCTTTGTTTTCCTCTAGGAACTCACACTAACCCTTTAGGTCTAGATTATGAGTCCATCCACAGGCTAGTACCTTCAGTGAAGACTTGCTGATTCATGAGTTTGATCCCAAGTCCTCAATATGCAGATCAAGAGATCTAAAGTTCTACTCAGATAATTAGAGGTCACTTGGCTGTGAATCATGGCACTTGAGAACTGAAAGGTCGTCGCCTTTGCCTAGTCCAATACCAGCAATTTGAAAAGACAGACTCTGAGGAACAGAGAAGTAGGGTACTTGCTTCTGGTCACAGACTCAAACTCAGACTATGGTCAGTGGTTGAACTGAGACTAAGAACCCAAAGGCCCAAGGGTTTCTGGAGTAGAGAAAAAATCAATCTTTGGTTTCCTCAGGCTTTAAGCACCTACCCATTCAGAACATGAATCTCTTTTTAGAGAAATTTAGAAAGTGTGGTAGCCCTTTCCCCATAGAACCAGACAAGACATTGAGCAGCCGATGGGGTGCTCTCTGCCAGTGTACTCTAGGACCCAGGTGGCCTAAGGCCTGCAGATGAGAGAGCAGAGGAGCTGGGTGAGGGAGCTGTGGCAGTGGTAGAAGAGGAGGTGGTTGTAATTCTGTACTTTGCAGGCTCAGTCTGTAACAGGGTGGAGGTGAGCCAATGAAGTATCTGCTTTTGCAGCATGTGTGGTAATAAGAGCCAAACCTTGTAGGCTTAGCCTCACTGCCTCTGTTATTCAGGTTGGACAAGCATAAGCCCCATGGCAGTGACAGGTGATATTATTAAAGAGGACATCTAGACATGCACAGAATCTGCCCAGACCAGTGACAGAATCTCAGGTTTGGAAGGGACCTTGACAGTCATTAAGCCCCACTTCTGCCCAAAGCTTCAGTCCTCTTAACAATGTCCCTATTCATGCCTTTGTTGAATGGCCACAGTTACGAGAGAGGAAGCTCCACTGCCACTGCAACGTGCTTTCTGCCTGTGTGGGTCCTCTCATCCACTGGCACCTGCTGGGTATCCCCATGGGTAAGGTCCTGTACGCTAGATCTTTTTAAATCTCTTCTCCGTCAAAACCTACTTGACCTATGTCTCATCAGGGTACCATTTCCTGTGGTAGCTCATCTCCAAAAGTAGCTCCAACAAGCCATGCCTTTTGACACTCATGGCTTTGTGTAGTTTCCTCCCACAATGAGCCAGGGCTGTCCTGTAACATGCTCTGACCAACAACATGGGGCAGAAGTGATGCTCTGCTAATTTGAGGACAAAACCTTGGGAAGGCCTGGCAACTTCCACCTTAGTGCTTCTGGGAGCCCTGAGCTGCCACATGTCTGGCTACCGTAGAGACACCGTATGGAGAGGGAGAGTCTCTGAGACTCCATGGAGTGAGAGAACAGTCCCATTGTCCCAGCATGCCAGCTGAATCCAGGGTTCCAGCCACCTGCCACAAGGTCCCAGACATGTGTGAGCTATCCTGATCACCCCAGCCTAGTCTGGCCCCCAGATGACTGCAGCCCCGCTGACATCACATGGAGTATAAGACCCACCCACTGAACCCACAGAACGCTGGGAGATAATCATCAAAGCCCTATGTTTTAGGTGGTTTGTTCCACAGCAATAGATAACTACAGTAGTTCCTATAAGCACTTTGGCACAGACTGGTTTCTCACTGGTTTGGGTGGTGTCATTTGGCAGAGATGCTTGACTCTTGGGTGATGAAACCTCCTAGAGACAGTGTCCTAACCCAAAGGAGTCCCCTAGTAGTGGGACACCAGGCACCATGCGGGGCCAGCAGGAGATACTTCTGAGTACCGGGTCCTCTCAATGCCCCAATCTCATCTCACAGGCTACACACTTAAATGGAGGGCCAGCCTAGCTAAATTTTTTAAGGACATCCATTTTTCCTGCATTGCAAGGCCATGAGCTATCTCCCTTATACTTGTAGACAAAGGGGAGGCAGATTCCCACCCAGTGGGGGCAAGAAGGAAATAAACACAATTAAGGATACCATTTTTGAGACTCAGGTTCTCACGAATCTCCTCGTGGTCGCAGGGATGAGTGAAGTCAAAGATACTATGTCCTGTTAGCTCCACCTGTTTCAAAAACAAGGTTAGGCATCATTATTCCTAACAGTGAAGTAAAAGACTCCAAGAGGAAGCTGAGCCACCTTCCAGATTTGGAGGCAGGGAGGAGATTGAATTGGGTTTTCTCATAATCCCAGTCCAGTGTCAGGTCCACAGACAGAAAGATGTAATGGGGGATTACTGATGACAGAGTCTGTTAATGAGTCAGTAGAGAGCTGTCTGCCAGGATGGACATAAGCAAAGCCAAACCCAATGCTTGGGGGTGGGACTGTGGCCTGAGGCATGTGGCCTGAGGTCAGCGAGGGTCACAGTGGCCATTTACAGGGAAAGGTCAAGTGGGATTGTGGCTAGCACCTTCTACTCATTTCTACCTCCAAATGGAAACATTTCTTCTTTTGAAAGAGATAGAGGAGGGTGTCACCTGTGTAAGTCCCATGAACTTGCTGATGTTTTCTGACAGAAAGATCATGTCGCCATCTTGGGTCACCACGGCAATGAAACCCTCCAAGGCTTTCAGGTACAAGTTGTCCATCTGCTGGTCAGCTTCAGCTTCAGACTCATTTTCAGAGCAAACTGGAAAGAGAGGGGGGTGGGACAGTTACATGAATGTGGAGTGAAAACAGATGTGACTGGCACAGATAGGCATTTGCCAGGGATGGCGCAAAGGCATCGGGTGGACTCTTCTGGAAACGCGCACTGCCGACCATCTGAATGTCTGCCCCAGCCCGGCAGCAGGCACTGGATGAGCACCACTGCACAGAGGACACCCTGACAGGGGCTGTGAGGACGGTGTGTTTGTTGTGACAACAGTACTTCTGGCACTAGTAACGGGAGCAGTAGGAGCTGCTGTGTGAGTGGTTCGGGGTGGAAGTTTTCCCAGGCTGCCCCCAGCAACCACCTGTACAGCCTGTAGACTCGGCTCTTGTCCCAGACCAAAAACACCTCTCGGGTCCCAGGTCTTTGGTGGTTATACACAGACCACCGACTTCATTTCAGCCCTTTTCTCCTAGTTCATTATTTATCTCCAAAGACATTTACTTATGAAAATTTGTATTTATCCAGTGCAAACATCAATCAAAGTATGCCTGAATATAACGGTACTCATGGAAGCAGGAACAAATTTTAGCTGCTAATATATACTGCAATCACAACATGAAAGGTACTGCACTAAGCATGCTATGTAATCTTCACAGTGACCTACGAGGTAGATACTATTCTTAATCTCATTTTACAGATGAAGTGTACAGAGGTTAAGCCATTTGTCCAAAGGTATAAAGATTGCAAAGTTAGCAAGCTTTGACAGCTGAATCCAGAAGCCACACTCAACCATTCATAGGCTTTGGAGTTAAACACAGGTTCTCTTCCTAGATCACCCTCCTATTAGGCTATGACTCTGAATAAGGAACAACCTCTCTGGATATCACTTTCCTCATCAGCTAAATGGGAATAACAATTTCCATCTCTGAATTGTAAGGATTAGATAAGTATGTAAAGTGCCTAAAACTATAACAACAGTAAATTCTTTCTTCTTTCTGCTCCAAGACATGCACTACCCTCAAATTGCTCAGATCCCGGGTGAGGAATATATAGCACTCAGAGATACAAAGCTAAGTAAAAGTTCAAGGGTGTCATAGCTGGGCTTCCAAGGAAAAGTGTAGATGGGACGAGCTCTAAGGGTCAGAGGACGAGGGGGTCACTTTGGGGTGATCACAGACAACTAACTATTCCAAAGAAGATTTGCAGAGACTTAGAAAAACAGATTTCACTCTGTGGAATGAAAGAAGGGCCTTCTGAACCAGATGGGATTGTGTGAGCACTGGAAAACCCCTGGAGCAAGCTCCCTCCTAGACTGAAGAGAGGCCCATCTGGCTCAAGAGGAGAATCCATCTTCCAGTCTCAGAGATTGGGCTGGTGAGACAGGCCCAGTGTCCTGGAGGGGCCTCACGTGTCAAGCAAATGTGATCAGAGGAGTGCATCTCAAAGCACTGCTTTGGGGAGATTAGTCTGGCAATGGCATACAGTGTGGTTTGGAGAGAGTGAAGCCCAGAGGTGCAAAACAGAGTGAGCAGGCAAATGCATTCTCAGCAGGCTGTACAGGTGGTTGCTGGGTGCAGCCTGGGAAAACTTCCACCCCGAACCACCCACACTTTGAGTATCCTGGCCTGTCTAGTATACCTCTGCTATCTGAAAAATACAGACTCGGCTCTTGTCCCAGACCAAAAAAACCTCATAGGCTCCAGGTCTCTGGTTGTTATACACAGACCACAGACTTTATTTCAGCCCACTTCTCCTAGTTCATTATTTAACTCCAAAGAATTTACTTATGAAAATTTGTATTTATCCAGTGCAAACATCAATCAAAGTATGCCTCACTTGATTTACAGAACGAGGAGATTAGAGAATAACTTGTCACTTGCAAATATTAATATTCACTTAACTAAAAGGAGTCTTTCAAATGGAGACTATTCTAAGGAATGCAAAATGCAATTCAGTGTATGGGCCACTTGGCCAGGGACACATCAATGCTGTGAAATGTCGTTGAAGGGCCTTTCTGCAAGGGCACTGGATTTCTCTTTTATCTTTTTCCTCGAGCCTCTAAATTTAAGCTTTGGGTTACCTGCCGTTATTCCTCAAGAAGAACAAATCCACATTACAAGATCTTCCTACCAAGAGGCTTCAGTGGAGGCACAGGGGACCAGCTACCTTTCAGGACACAGGATGAGGGAACATGCCGGAGTCACAGATGCCTTCTGCACAGCATCACAGTGGGTCCTGTCCAGGGATGGGCAAGCCTTCAGAGCCAAGAGTTGGGCTGTACAGAGTAAGGCCCCGTGGCTTTCCCTCTGTTTTGCTAAAATGGTGAAACAAAATTAGGGAAATTCTTTCCTCTCTACACCCTGTTTCAGGTGGGTAGCCTGGAGAAAGGAGAACCACAGGTCATGGGAATGGCCTTATACCATACATATACGCACACCTGATCCCTGCTTGGGGTTTCTGCTGATACACCTGTTCTTTGCCAGCTGACCAGCCCGCTGAAGTGATGATGAACCAATGTCCCAGGTGTGGGTGATGCCACTGTGAATGTTAGCTTTCCCAGCTAAAATCTTCTTTTGAGTGGGGGCTTTAGGGGAGAAAATGACTTAACTCAGGGCTTTCAAATTTGAGTATGCATCAGAATCACCTATAGGCCAGGCTAAAAGAAAAATGTCTGGGACCAGGACTGCTACATAATTTGTGTAGCCCAGTGCAAAATAAAAATGCGAGACCTCTCATTGGAAAAATTAAACCAAGCCTGAGAACCTTCTCAGTGTGGCGCCCTCTAAGACCGCCTGTGCTGCATGCCCATGAAGCTGGCCCTGGATGAGCCCCTGCTGGGTTCCTGGTTCAGTAGGTCTTTAGTGGGAACTGAATCTGTTCGTTCTAAAAAGCTCACAGGTGATGCTGACCCTTCTACTCATAGGACCATATGCTGAGAGCTACTGCCTCAACTCAAAGGTCCTATGAGTGACCTTATTTAGCCTGTGTTGGCAGGTGGTGACTTATTTTGGAGATGAGTGAGGAGAAGTTTTCAGCGCCACTTCAATCACACCAGATAGGTGACCACCTTCTATAGATACACAGAGGCCAACCCTGTGGTTTCTAGCCAACTGAGAAGATATTTTCTCTTCAATTTCTTTGATCTCAGTGGTAATGCTGACTTCAAAATCTGGAGTAATCCCAAGACAACCCTATTTGGGTTAACTAGTCCCAGAGGAAATAGTCCTGCTTAAAATTTCCTGTTTTTAACGGTTCCAACACAGCCAAACTGGTTTCCACCCATGCCCAGTGCATTTGCTTCCAGGAGGTGGCGAAATTGGCTACAGCAGCTTCGGGTCAGCTGGCCTCTGGGAGGGAGAGGGGCAATCTAGGGCCACGAAGGGAAACAGAATGTCTTGGGACTAAGGTCACAATGGCTGGAGGAGCAGGAAGCCACCAGTTTGGCCCCAGGAACCCTGCAACGGCAGGGCTGGGGCAGGGTCTCTTCCCTCCGTGGGACTATTTGCCCTCAGCACCTGCTTATTCTCCTGGGAGCTTCAGAAGGAACCTGGCCAGGTCACTCCCAGCTTGCAGCTGAGAATGAAAGCTGTGGAGCCAGGAGGTAGACCCTCACCCTGGAGGCATCTCAAAGCATTGCTTTGGGGAGATTAGTCACCCTGGAGGCTCATGTCACAAATCGGCTGAAGACCCCTCTGCCCCTTCCCCTGTGAACATTGTGTCTTCCCTGATGTACCATTAATATCCTGCTCAGTGTTAGGGACATGGAAAAATGCACTCATTCCCTACACCGTTATGAAGTTTCTACTGTGTTCATGTCTGCTTTATGCTAGGCACAAGGTAATCTGTCCACAAGTGTCACTTACTCTGTGCTCAGTCCTGTCCTAAGGAGAATCAGGGATACTGAAAGGTGTAAGAGCAATCCCCTCAGAATCAACAGACTGGTGGGGAAGACAGAGATAAACTGCTGTAAGGTAATGCAACAACCCAGCATCAACTCTTGGTCAGAACAAAGTGAGGAGCCCAGAGTAGGTGCTCAATAAGCCACCAACTGGGTCTGTAAATCATCCTGGGCTCTAGATCTCAGTTACTTGCTTCCGAGGACCCTGCAGGGTTTGACCCCAAAGATGAGAGATGGGTCATTAAAACCAGAGGTGCTCTGCCGAGACGGCGCATGCCCATCCTGGGGAGCATAACAAGATTCTTTAATGCTAAAAATAGCCCCAGTAAACAGGCTTTGATGACTCCCCACAGCCAGGATATGCGCGGGCTGAGGTTTTGGAGCACTTTTTCCGGAGCATCGCTCATTTCCTTCAAGCAGCACCGCCCATGTGGGGTGGGACTTCCTGGGCAGCAGGGGCTGTGCATTGGGAGAGAGCAGGCAGAGTGGCAGAGCAGAGCCTCCTGAGTGGTCTCAGAGACCAGGCTGCCCCACGGTGCTGCTGGTCAGAATACTGGCTGCAATTTTATTCGACCAAGGTCACTTTACCTCTTGTTTCCTACTCCGAGAAGTTCCAGGACTGCTCTGACTGTTCTCAAAGCCATTCTGATGGGGTCTTCCTGGTTCAGACGTGCTTGGCAGTCACCACTTTGTGACCACCACAGGGGCCTTCCTTCTAAGGCTCTGCCTAAACTGATTCCTCCCCTCCACCTGACCCACAGCCTGACCCCCAATCCCCGCCCTCCCGGATGTGCAGACTGCAAGAGCAGTGCCAGTCAAACTATAGGGAAATCATTCTGGGATTGCTTACTGGAGCCTTAGCCATACCTTTAAATGCCACCATTAGCAGGCCTGGGCTTCTCTGATGCCTTTGACAGAAGGCACTGTGTCCTTCCTATCTTCCTGGGCTCCCTGGAAGTCCTGAAAGTCCACTAGGAGAGATTCATGCCTTTGTTCTTTGCATATATCTTACTATCCTATCTTGCCTCTCTGCATTACCCTCCATAAGATGTAGTATAGGACTGGGTTCAGCAAACATCTATTGACTGAGCAGACTTTTTAGTTTAAGTTAAAGGAACGATCTGAACAAAGTCAGTATCTCTAGAAGAGATTGTGTATTAGCTGTTCTCACCCATTAACATCCTCACATGAATCAGCTTATTGAGCTCTTTCCAAACAGGACAGAAAAAGGCCTTGATTTGGAGTAGGTGGGACAAAGGGATGGAGGTAGGGGTGAAAGCCTGGGAACAGAAGTCTGAAAGTGGGGTATGAGAGGGTACCAGAACATGTATCTGCCTGCACAGTTCTTTCTTTGTCCCACTTTTCCTGCATGGGAAGGTCATATCAAGCCTTAAAAACTTTAAAATCACATTTTAGTATCTTTCCCTTAGTAGTCTACAGATCAGGAAAACAACCTCTTGTTATAACTGATGTCTTTGCTAAGCAAATGATGAATCCATAATACAACTGACACTTCTCTTTAGAAACCTTGCTTCATGCTGATCTCCAGCTCCATGGAAAATGAATTTGACTTCATCATGCATGAGTTTGGGCAAGCCCAAAATTTAATTTTACAATGAAAAGCAAATTTTGTATATTCACTGCGGTTTAATGCCCTCAGAATGCAGAGTTGACCCTGATTCGCTCGTGGTTTGTGGGGCTCATCTTGAAAGAGGATTTAAGACAATCAAGTGGCATTTCCACCGATGTTCCTGTAAGAGTGTGTTCTGTCCTCAGCCCAGCGTGGAAGCTAATATCATAAAGCTATTGTTTCAGTTTGCTTCCTGTGATATGAATCTCAATCGGCAGCCCAGACCCACAGCCTGAATTTCTCAACGTTGAGGTTTCCTCTCCAACATTCCCACACAGAACAGCCTACTGTGAAAATCAAAGGGAAACATGTTACTAAGTAAAGAGAAACTTTTCTAAAGAAAAACCTGGTATTTTTTAGCCTTTTGAACTTTGAGGTATGCAACCAGCTATTTCCTATTATAAAGTGAGCCAAAATTGGTACTCACCTTTGTTAGAAATGCTTAAATAATGAATGTGTGGGTTGTTTTGCCTTAGAAAAGCTTGACAACTCTGCATTTTGATAGAAATTGCTAGAAGGTAGGTTACAGGATAGTAAGAATTTACATTGGGTTTTCTTTTACATCATTTCTCCAGAAGCCTATATTTAATATAAATCAATATATTTGTTTGTAATAATTTTTATTTCTAAGCTGTAACTTATTGAGACCTTAATATGTGGCAGGCTAGAGGATAAGGCCTTTTATATCTATTATCTCAATCCTCAAATAACACTGCAGGGTAAGCACCATTATTCCCTTTGTGCAGATGAGGAAACTAAAGCTCAAAGAGAAATTTTTACAACATTGCAGAGAAAAAAAGCAGCCAAACTAAGATTCCAGTGCAGGTCTATCTGCCCACAAATCCTGTACTCTTCTTCATGATGCTACATGTGTTGGAAAAGCAAAATACGATTTAGAAAGAAAAAGATCTTGTCTCACAATTTCTGAAAGTAATTCAACAATCAGTCTAGAGAATGCGTAGCAGAAGTCTAAGAGAGAAGTCAGAGAAAAGCGGGTGCTGAGAAACCATCTCCTCCTCCCTGGTCTGTGCTCGTTCGGTGAGAACTTCTCCTTCAAGGACACCAGGACCACATGGCCAAAAGTAGAAACTTTTTATCCCTTTCCTTCATTTCTTTCCTTGGGACAGAGAGGACCAGAGCTGACAGGCTAAGGGCTCTAGCTGGTATAGGGCCAAGCCCAGCCAGAGGGCAGGCAAGTTTGTGTCCACAACTTTCAACAGGCTCCTGAGATGGGACAGATAAGGGATGTCCCAGTGTGGCCACTCTGGTCCTATCTCTGTGGGTGTGTTTAGCACACAGGGGTTCTCATCAGCACACGAGGGCTCACACCAGCACACACACGGGTAGATGTGCTCAGAGAGTCCAGTCTAACTCCTGGCCTTCTCCAGGCCAACCTCTGAACCACTGAGACAGACAGCCAGGCCCAGGAGGGCAAGCATGGAAAATGAAGCCCTGCACTAGGGGGAAGGACAGGAATAATTCTCTGAATGTGTGAGGACCTCCTCCCCATCACACTGGCTCCCAGCTGCCTCTGTTGACCTTCATTCCCCTACCTTCTCCCTTCCCCCACATCCCACACCCCAGCCCTTGTCAACATCTTTGTCAACATCTTAGCCTGACCAGGTTTACAAAATGCTCTTGCCGTCCCATGTCTGTTTTCCCATGGACCAAAATTCAAAAGGACTTGAATTCCAGGTGCAGGTTCACCATGTGCTAAATGTGTGACTTTGAGCAATATTAACCTGTCTGTCCTTCACTTATCTGTGTAACAAGGAGAAACACTCAGCGAGTCCAAATTTAGTCAGAGGCGTTCTACAATTAATATACAGGTTGACTGTCCCTAATCGGAAAATCTGAAATCTGAAATGCTCCAAAATCCAACACAACATTCAAAGGAAATGCTCGTTGGAGCATTTCAAATTTCAGATTTTCGGGTTAGGGATGCTCAACTGATAAATACAATGCAAATATTCCAAAATCCAAAAAAAGTAAAAAATCAAAAATACTTCTGGTCCCAAGCATTTCGGATAAGGGATACTCAACCTGTATTACCCCTTCTGGGGCTTTGTGTTGGTGGAGGAATTGGAGTGGTGATGAAGGAAGCAATGATTAATCCAAAGGAATTAATGTCTAAGAGCAGAATCTCAAGTACCACAGCAGGAAAGCAGGGAAGAGGGGTCTCATTGTGGGGAAGGGGCCTTCATCCAGTCATGAAATCCTCCACTGTCTACTCTTTATATGTAAAGATGACTGCAACATTAGCTGACTTTGCCCTCAGTTATCCAGGAAGACAAGCCTTTTTAAAGGGAGGGGTGCACAAATGCCCTGTGATGGAGTCTCCCGGCCTTTCTTATATCCAGCAATCCAACCCTTGCCAGGGCTCAGCCCGCTGTTCTCTCTCGGCAGCATCTAGGACCATGTATCTGCCATTGTCTTGCATTGTTCTTTGAAAGTATTTATAGACCCTATCTTCCCGCTTGGCTCTCCTGCTCTTGTCTGCACATTTCGCCTCTTTAGGCCTAGCCTTCCAACCCCAGGCCCACTAAACTGTCATCCTATTTTCTGAAAGTCTGCCCCCCATATCCTTCCTGTACTCCAGGGACTAGAATAGTACATTCTGGTCTGGCCTCCCAGCCTCACACTGGATTCCCTCTTTCCCAGAATAGCCACTTCATAACAGGATGGCGGAATCCACCGTCTCCAAGGCACCAGGCTTACTCCGGAAAACTGAAAAACCACCACCAAAGAACCCTCCCTCCCCGAGTGCCTCCCTCACGCTCACCCGTCAGACACTGTCCCCACCTGTGGCACCAGACCAGGCGGGGAGGAGCACAACACGCTGCCCAGCATCCTGACAGAACTGACACCCCTGATGAGAATGTCACATAGGATCTGAAACCAGAAGACTTCTCAGGACACCTGTTTCTGGTCAGGACGCATAGGAAATGGTTTCCTGAAGAATGTAACTGAGAAAAAGCAAATGCTGTGTGAACTGTGGAGTTGCAGAGGTACCAGGGACGGGAGAACCAGTTGTTTTCTGGGGGGGGTGATGCTCTCGGCTGTCAGCTGTCAAGGACTCCCCAGTGTGAGTGAGCTCAGCCAGGCCAGGTGATTTACAGACATCACTTCAGTCCATTCTCACCAACAGCCTGGGCAAGAAGGATGTTTAATGCCATTTTATAGATGAGGAAACCAATGTTCAGAGAGACTAAATGATTTGCTTGGCCTAACTGGCTTCTCAGAGGGAAAAGATCATCTGGGCATGCCTACTTGCTGTTCTAGGGAAGGCACTGGAAGTTAAGGATGAGAAGGCGTCCTACAGACTCAATCTAGTGTGGAGGATGGGTCTTACGGGCCAGATGGCAACAAACTGAGAAGTCAGCAAAAGCTGTCCTTGGTTCTCCCAGCCCGTGTTCTCCCCAGCCTCTGGGTGCCCATGTTCTTCCCTGGTCCTGTCCCTGCCCTCCTCTCACGGCCGGATTCACAGTGAAGGTCACTGCTGGAAGAGAGATGTTTAACACGAAGGAATAAAGCACTCACGATGGTGATTCTGTGGGTGAAAGTTCTGTAGTGGGAAGACTTTCCAGCTCTGGCAGCAGAAGGGTCCCCTGCATATAGGAACATGCTGGTAAGGCTGGCATCTGCCCAGCCTAGGGGAGCCCGCTGGCCTTACCTGAGGAGAGGAGCTTGTGTGTTCGCAGGAAGCTGATCGCCAGTCGCATGATGGAGGCCTTGTCCAGATGGGAGCTCACGCTGTGGGGCAGAGGCAGCTCATGGGCCAGCTCGTAGAACACCTCCGTCTCCTTGCTCCGCCGGCACCGTGCGGCATCCCGGGACTTCTCCTTCCTCCTCTCCGAGCTACTCCTAAGTGGAGAAGAAGGGGTTAGTCCCGGTAAGGTTACTGTCAGCCTATCATACCTCTGGCCAGGATATCCCCACGGCCCCAACCCACAGCGCAGCCACACTCCCCCACTGGACTGATCTGGGCTCACACCAGTCATCTGAGCCACACACAAGCTGCTTTGTATTGTTAGCTCTGCTTTTGTGTGTGTTGGTGTCTTTGCAACCAATGTCCTCCTCTTGCATGCCCTGTGAAGGCCAGAACAGGGCTTCACATGGGTGGAGTCTGGGCAAAGACTTGCTGATTAAATTAACTGTCAATGCCTGGGACCTGGCCCTGGATTATCTGGGGATAGGGGTGAATGTCCAGGGATGGAAAGAGAAGGATAAGGAAGCTATGATCAGTGGCTCAGATGGCTTTGTCAAGGGCTCTGGAGAACACGATAAAAAACTGCTTTAAGGTTCTTTTTCTGCATAAGACACATTCAGAAAAAATTAAGAGTAGTACTGAACCCTAGATCCCGCTTCATACCAGAGAGTGATTTCCACAGTAAAAACTGAAAATACCATTACAGCCCAAGAACAGTTAGCCAGACACCCAACAGTCTAGAGTACCAACGTGCATTCTGTCAAGGATTAAAAAGGAGTGGGCACAAACATTTTCTAAGCACTGCCAGCATAGGTTGCCAGGCTGTCTCAGCCGCATTCTCCTCTTTGCTGCAGGATGGAAGGAAAGATGACACGCACTGAAGCTTGCCTCTTTTCAGGAAGTCCTAAAGAAATCCTGGACTTTCTTATAAAGTCCATGGCAAGTTCTAACACAGGCAAATTTAAAAGTCAGAATGTTTAGATTGGAGTTCTAACTTCTCTGCTCGTTGGCTCTGTAAATAAATAATTTAAATTGCTTAGCCTCAGTCTCCTCATCTGTAAGATGACAACAATAGTGCTTAATAGAGTTAATTGTGAGGACTAAATGTGATAATTTATATAAAATCTTTAGCACTAAGCCTGTTCCACCAACTGTAAGCAATCGATGTTAGCTAATACTAATTAAAAAGATGGCCATGAAAAGGCAATCATGAGAGTTAAAAAGTTACAAAACAGTACAGGACAATTCTATTTTCATAGAAATGTATTATACATAATACTTCTATAACTTATATAGGAGAAAGGCTAGATGTATAATAACTACTATTATAGGTATCATAGAAATAGTTCTTACAAGTACTTTTTTTTCTCATTATTATACTTTAAGTTCTAGGGTACATGTGCACAATGTGCAGGTTTGTTACATATGTATACATGTGCCATGTTGGTGTGCTGCACCCATTAACTCATCATTTACATTAGGTATATCTCCTAATGCTATCTCTCCGCCCCGCCTCCCCACAATAGGACCTGGTGTGTGATGTTCATCTTGGCTTATTTAAACTCACACAATTGCCTTGGAAGTAGGCATTATTATTATTATACCTAATTTACATATGAGGAAACTGCCCCATAGAGGCCAAGTAATTCACCTGTGGCCTCCAGCAGGTAAATGGGGAAGTTGGGCTTTGCACTGGGCAGGTGGGCCCCAGAATCATGGCACTTAACCACCAATGACTGTCCTGTCTCCTTCTACTCACAAATGTTAGCAGTTGCAGGGTAGTGAGGTTACAGGAAGTTTTTTTGGTTTTTGTTTTGCTTTATAGTGCTTATCTGTGTCTTCTTGTGTTTCTATAAATAACCTATATTGCATATTTAATAAAGAAACAAATCTGTTTTTTATTTTTTTAAAAGGCATCTAAGCCGGGCATGGTAGTATTTGAACCTGTAGTCCCAGGTACTTGGGAGGGTGAGATGGGAGGATCACCTGGGCCCAGGAGTTCAAGACCAGCCTGGGCAATATAGTGAGACCTCGTCTCTATAAAAATATAAATAAGATAAAATTAAAAAGTGTCCAGCGCGGTTCATAGGTTTCAAGGCCTCAATTCAGTTAGCTCCAGCTGGCTTGCTCTGTCCTGCCATCTGAGATTCCAGAGACTGCTCCTCCTTTTGTTTGGCTTTGCAGCCTGTTATTTGGACAGAAAATCTGTATTTTGGGATTCATGGAATGTGAACATGCCTCTCAAATCCCTCAAGATTTGGGGCAGAAGCACTGTTTTGATTTTACAACATGCTTCATTTAAAAAGACAGACTGTCCAGCTCTGTGGATGGATTAAGCATCATATACTCAGATTAAAGGACGAATTGTCCAACAGCTGTTGATGGGCAAGAAGAACCTTCAGAAAAATTGTGAAATGAGTGAAACTATTTTTCTTGTCCTCGCTCCCTTTTCTACTTCCTTTACCTAATCCCTGTTTCCCTCTCTCCCTGACTTCCAACCCTCAGGACACCTACTCCTGCACCCTTCTTTCCCCACCTTCTCAGGAATTGCCCTGATTAGACCTTTAGTGGCAGTTTTTATACTAGTCCCTCCCATTTGCATTTTAATCCTGACCTGATTGTGGAGAAAAAGTTAAAGAATTGCACGTATTCTGGCACAGGAAAGGAAGATGGGAAGAGGGCAGGATGCTGAAACCACACACATCATGCCTTTGGGTCATGAGAGTCAGGTGAAAGATGCTGGATTTCATTCTCTAGCACTAACTCTTGGGCTCTCCAACAAAAGCATCATCAACACATAACCTCATCATCAGGGGCCAAGATAAGCCATCCTGAAGCAAAAGCAATCCCAGCACAGGCTATGGCATTAACGCCAATATCTGCATGCACAAGGCTTCCCTCTGCCATTGGCCCCCTTCCTTGGAGTAGAAGAGGCAGAGAGGAAAAGCCAGGTAGGGAAAAGGCAATCTGGAGTCAATGCTCTGACAATGGTATCTGATATGTGAGTCTTGCTATAATTTTTGTGCCTAGTGCTATACCAAGAACCTTTCATATATTAGCTCATTATACTCTTCCTAACAACAAAATAAAGTAGGTATTGTTTACACAATTTAGAGATGTGGAAACTGAGGCTCAGACATAGTATGTCATTTGCCCAATGTTACAAAGCCAACGCCTACATAAGCCATTGAAGGCTTTGTAGTCAGTGAGCAGACACTTAGAAGTCCTGAAATACACAGGGGATTCCTATCTAATTCCATCCTTGCAACCAAGTGAGGTGGGCAACACAGGTGTTGTCACTGTTCCCCTTTCACAGATCTGAAAACAGACACTTAAGCAGGTAAGTTACTTGCCTAGAGCAATCCAGCTAATCAGTGGCAGAGCTAGGGCTAGAACCCTGCTCTTCCTAGGCGGATACTCTTCTCACTGCTTAATGGTAGGAGATAGTGGCTTTAGCAAGAAATAAAGAAACAGCAACATCTTAACTTCCAGAAAAAGAAAGCTTGAGAATCTAAGGCAGCCTCTTGGTTCAAAAGTCAGGGAGGTGGGATGTCAGCTGAAACTAAAAGGACAAATAATAATACCTTTGCAGAAAGCACTTTTTCTTAACATGTGTTATCTCATTTGATTCTCACAACCCTGAGAGATAGAAACTATCATCCCCATTTAATAAATGAGGATGTGGAGATTTAGAGATATTAAATAATTTGCTAAAAACATTGTCTCAAACCTAGTTCTTCTGGGTCCAAGATCAAAAGTTTTTCCATTGGCAGCAAGGAAACTATCATTTACTGTACAACTTTGATGTTCCCAGTGCTGTGCTGATACTTTCCCACAACCTGGATGTTCACACATACTCTGGGAAGCAGAGGCTAAGACTTTTTTAAATACAGTGACAAAAATTTCATGAGGGGAGCCTCCTGTCTTTAAGCGAGCACCCATTCACCTTAGAAGAACACCTGGAATGTTAAGAGTAGGACTAAGAACTAGCATCAGAGTTCAGATGGGGTCGGAGGGGGAAGAAGGGACTCAGTGCTGTGGGCCTTAGCAGACACAGGTGCCAGTCACAGTAGTGCTCGGAATGTGGTAGAATCTTATCAGATGTGGCTCGGCAGTGCTCCATAAAAGCAGCAGGTCCAACCCTGCCGCAGTATCTATCTATGCCACAGGTGAAGAACAAGCTGTTTCTGTTTGTTTTGGGTTTGGTTTTTTTCCCCTGGACATTTTAATATGCACAAATTTATAGTTAGTCTCCCCGAGGTGGAAGCTCACATTCTGAAACATTTGATCCCAGCTAAAGTTAACAACCACTTAAGCCAGACAGCCAGTCAAAAGATAAAACAATACTGAACATCCTAAAATTGTCAGCAGAGATATGCTACAATTCATCCAGGATAAACCTCTTTGCCCAGAGCTTCGTTATCTTAAAAATATCTTCTTTTAGGTCACTGCTCCAAGCATGGCTTAGGGATCCCTACTTAAGTCATGAATCTAAGGATGATCTGTTCTTGGTCAAGATGACCTTGGTTCCTGACTTCCATACGAACATAGCCTGGAGTGAGGCCCCAAGATGTCTGTCACCAGTAACACCGAGGGGTTGGCTGCCTAATGAGCTAGACTTGTAGAGTGATTAGAACTCACATGCCTAATGCCTGTGGCCATTCAGGTATCAGAACAATATGCCTATTACCCTATAAGGTTAAATGGCTTAGAAACAGAATGGGTTTCAGCAGGTAGAGATGACTGAAGCTAATTAAGCCAGCTGGGATCAGTCTATTGGTTGGTGGTGAAATTCTAAGCTGGTGCCAATTTGCAAGAAGCTGAGAATGGAGGAAATAAAGGTCAAATGCAATTGGGAGAGGTCTTGTGACACTTCCATGAGGCTTGTGGCTGCTGTACAGGGGCTGTCTGATGGGAGAAACACACCCAGCTCCAGGTTCCAGAGATGAGGAAGAGTCACTGGTCCCCATACTTATTGGGGCAGAACCAAAGTCAGTGGTTCTCAGTTATGCTGCTCACTGGAGTCACCAGAGGAACCTTAAAAAACAGATGCCTGGGCTCCACCCCCGAGATTCAGATTTAATGTCTCAGGTGCAGGCTGGGCAATGGGAGTTTTAAAAGCTCCCCATGTGTAGCCAGGGCTGAGGACCACAGT